CGATGGGCGCATTTCCGGCGTAAAAATCTCCTCCGCGAAATTCTCTTTCCAAGTTGCGTGCTCCGCAGTCGAATGGCCATTCTCCCATTCTTATTCCCATTCCCCGATTTCCTCCTCCCTTTCTCCACTCGGACTTTCGGACTTTCGCCGAGCGATGCATAAATCACACAATAAAACCCATAAATTTTGAATGCAGCCAGAATTCGGGGGCGGCAGAGGGAAAAACTTGAAAGCAAACTGCTTTTCGGAGAAGAAAGCAGAACGAAGAAATAGCCAGCCATTTTCCATCGTTGATCACTCGAAAGTTCCCCGAAAAACATTCGAAACTTGCAAAAGAAAAATCTTAATAAAAATATTACAAAATGTTTTTAATATATTTTAAATATTTTACTTAGGTTATGGACAAAGTGAAGTAACAAATGATTTTATTTTGGTTAAGAATATGTAAAACTGGCTGGTTTCGGCATTTTTTCCATTACCTTGTAGGGAAGGGAGACAACCTCAGGAGCATAAGGTCTTCTGATCAACTGAGTGGGACTCATTTCAATATAAATTGTAGAGTTGTCCTCAGGAAGGTCGGAAACTCGGGTCGACTGTGCCGTTTTCCGACTCACAATTTTTGTCGTCTCTTTAGAGTCCAAAAATATTCTCCAGGGAGCGTTAGTCGTAGATTTGGTTTCGACTGGGGGATCATGGCAGTATGCAAAGTTAACATTTCTTAGTCGTAATCGGTCCATTGCAATGGGATCGAAGATGGGCGGCAAGGTTATTACAAATTCTTCAATTTTTTTCCGTTTCCACGCTTGAAAGAATATGAAAATCAAAGAGGCGAGTACAAAGAAGATTACGACCGCAATTGAGAGACCAACTATAAGACCAAAAGAATTCGGTTCTGTTTCTTGACGGGCCGAAGGATCAGCGTACCACTTTATTCCGCCGCCGGAATCATCGGAGTATTCCGCCGACACAGCCATTATTAAGCGGCCCTTGACCTCTTTGACTTGAGTATCCTGTTTCCATTTAGAAAAGGAAACATGTCTTATCTCCTCACGGTCGTCACAAAATTGGTTGATGTTTTCAGAAGCCGAACAATATAGGACGGTAAATCCACTAAGCAACTTCGATTCCAGGGGAAACTTCCAGCTGAGGGTGCGGTTCCCAGGAAGGTACGTAATGTTTTGTACCTGATGCAGCTTATAGTTGGTCAGAATCGGCACTGTCAGAGAATCGAACTCCAAGGATCGACCCACTGAGTTTTGACTCCAAATGGAAACGATGGTGCGCCTTGTGGAATCCCAGTTGTGAAAGACTGCAGATCTGTTGCCCTTTAGGAAGGGCTCCTTTCTGAAAGTTCAAAATTAAATTAAAGTACAGTATTCAGAACTTAAGGCATCTAAGCTTACCCCGAATCTGTGTTTACGATGTACGTAAAGTTGGGTCCATTAAACTTGGTTTCGTCTAGGTGATACCAAAATACGTGTAGATCTCTCTTTTCCGGGTCGTAATAGAATACTTGGTGCAGAAACCTCGGCGGTTGATCGGGCACGGTGGCGTTCGTGGTGTAGAACACGTGAATCATATTGGAGGGCGCCCCGCTGTGGTTGAATAGCACATTCAAACTTGCTGTATACCCGTAGTAAGGAAGCACACATCCTTTTCCTCATTGAAGCCAGCTTCCAAGTGGCTAATGGTCTGGACTGACGTCCAAAAATCCCCGGGGGGTTTCCACAGACTCCATTCCTTGAGATACACTCTCCAAGCGTACGAGTTATTGTTTTTGAAAGCGTGCGGTCCGAAATCCACGCAAGTCGCGTCTTTCAATTGGTCAATTTTAGGTTTATCAGTTGGCCAAGAAGGCATTCTTAGTTCGTTGTCAGATTTGTAAAAGACTTGCTTTTTTAAAAGCCCAGCAGAGTCCAGTTCAATAGTGAAGTTTCGGCCAAGTCCCCGAAAACTAATTGGGTATGATAGTCTGGACCCGGTCTTCGCATAGTACATATATTGGCAATCAAATTTATACATATTGTCCATAGCGAAAATGAAACTAGTCTTATTGACGTCCTCTTCGAAAACATCGAAGCGACACTCCAAATCCGCCTTATCATCGGTATAAAAGCATTCATAACTAACGGCTCTCAGAAAAGTCGACTCTTTGATGATCGCCGTAGCTGATCCATTTTCCGGGAAGTTGCACCTGAATTCCAAGCCGTTAAGACCGAACTCATTAAGGTTTACTCTGTAGCCCATGGTGAATTCGTCGACGGGCACCGTTTTCAAAGTAATATTACCCATCGTTAGCTGAATTTCCCACGGCTTTGGGGCGGATCCGTTGTAGAAGCAGCACACATCGAAGGTGAAGTCGGGGAAATTGCCCATTGTAAGGGTATGAATAATTCCACTGGGTTGCACAACTGACCAAAAACTGGCCATCGCAGTCACTAGCAAAAACGACCGCCTTCCCATGTTGACTTCAAGAAATTGAATAAAAAACTAATTTTCGCTTATCGCTTATTCCAGCTCGCAGCATAGAATCCATGCGCGGATCCAAAGGGGGGTGCTATGGGTGATAGACTCCCCACTCGGGTGAAAAAGAAAAGAATTTTGGTACTCAAAAAGTATGCAACAATAAAGTTTATTGCTATTACCCCCCACAAAAAAATCCTAGATCCGCCACTGATCGAACAGTTCCCGAACTCAATATTTCACGTTCCCCAAAAATATAGCGATAAGAGCGGCAACCACTGACCTAATCATTTTTTGTATATTTAAATTTAAGTTTTATTGAATAAATGTTTGTTCTTAACTCATTTTTATACCCTTGAAAAGGATATTACAGTAGTGGAAAAATGCTAATCATTACATTGGTAACTCTGTAACAAAATACCCCTTAATTCTACGACTATCCCAAAAACAGTTCGAATTCTTTTATTTTTGTTAAAAATATGTAAAACTTTAAGGTTTTGGCATTATTTCCATTACTGTGTATGGTGAGGAGACAACCTCAGGAGGATCCGAATTTGTGGTCGACTGAGCAGTTCCCATTTCAGTATATAATGAAGAAAATTCCTTCGGTGGATCGGCACTTCTGGTCGACTGAGCTGTTTTCCGACATACAATTTTCGTCGTCTCCTTGGATTCCAAGAATATTCTCGGAGCGACGATTGAAGAGGTGGTCTCAACTGTTGGATCATGGCAGTATGCAAAGTTAACGTTTCTGAGTCTTAGTCTGTCCATTGCAATGGGATCGAAGATGGGAGGCAAAGTTATTACGAATTCTTTAATTTGTTTCCTTTTCTTTTTTTGAAGGAACAAGAAGATCGAAACGGACAGCGCGAGTACAATCACGGAAGCAATGGAAATTGCGAGACCAAAGGAGTTCGACTCTGAATCTTGAGGGGCAAATGGGTCAACGTACCACTTCATACCACCGCCGGAACCATCCACGTATTTCGCTGACACGGCCATTTTAAAGGAACCTTTGGACTTGTCAAATTGATAATCTTGTGTTACTTTACCAAAGGTATAAGATTTAATCTCCTCATCGTCGCCGCAGAGTAGGTCGCTGTTTTTGGAAGCGGAGCAATAGAAGAAGATAAATCCTGTGAGCAACTTCGATTCCAGTGGAAAGTTCCAGGTTAGGGTCCGGTTCTCAAAGTGGTACGTCATGTTTTGTACCTGATGCAGTCTATAGTTGGCCAGAATTGGCACTGTCAGATTATCGCAATCCAACGATCGACCCATTGAATTCTTACTCCAAATGGAAACGATGCTACGCCTTGTGGAATTCCAGTTGTGAAAGACTGCAGATCTGTTTCCCTTTAGCAACGGCTCCTTTCTGAAAGTCAAAGAGTGTATTAGCTTTCTGTACTTAGAAATTAAATTAATTAAAGCTTACCCCGAATCTGTGCTTATGATGTACGTAAAGTTTGGTCCGTTAAACTCTGTTTCTGCCAAGTGATACCAAAAGACGTGAAGATCCTGCTTTTCCTGGTCGTAATAGAATCCCTCGGTTATAAACCTAGGAGGTTTATCAGGCAGAGTGGCATTTGTGTCATAGTTTACTCTATATAGACTCATTGGCGCATCGCTCAAGTGGAATCGAACATTTATAACAGCTTGATAGTTGTAGTAAGGATAGTTCGGGGTCTCAAAGCACACATCTCTACTCTCATGGAAGCCAGCTTCGAGGTGGCTAATAATGTTGACCTGAACCAGAGGAAAAAACACATTCCGAGTATCCCACAAACCCTTTTGCATCAGATACACTTCCCATGTGTAGGAGTTTTTATTTTTGAATGCATGGGCTCCAAAATCCACACAAGTAGCGTCCTTTAATTGGTCAATGTTGGGTTTTTCAATTGGAAAATAAGGAATTCTCATTTGGACATCGGTTAGGTAAAAGTCTTGCTTCAGTAAAAGCCCAGTAGAGTGCGTTTCAATGGTGAATTTCCGGCTAAGTCCCCGAAAATTAATTGGGTATGGAAGAATGCAACCAACCTCTTTAGTGTACGAATATGTGCAATTAAATGTATACATATTATCCATGGTGAAAATTAATTCTTCTTCGTAAAATATAAAGCGGCACTCCAATTCCATCTTAACATCGGTATAAAAGCACTCATAATTTATGGCTCTCAAAAAAGTCGACTCCTTGATGATGGCTTTGGCGGATCCGTTTTCCGGAAAGATGCAGCTGAATTCCAAACTGTTAAGACCGAACTCATTAAGGTTTACTCTGTAGCAGATGGTGAACTCGTCGATGGGCACTGTTTTCAAAGCAATATTATGCGCCTCAAGCTGAATTTTCCACGGTTTTCGGGCGGATCCGTTGTAGAAGCAGCATACATCGAAGGTGAAGTCGGGGTGCTTGCCCATCGTAAGGGTATGTATAATTCCACTGGGTTGCACAACTGACCAAAAACTGGTCATCGCAGTCACTAGCAAAAACGACCGCCTTCCCATGTTGACTTCAAGAAATTGAATAAAAAACTAATTTTCGGCTAGGGCTGCTTATCGCCTATTCCAGCTCGCAGCATAGAATCCATGCGCGGATCCCATCCACCCATCACCATCACTAGTACATACGACCGCCATCCCATGTCGACTTCAAGACATAGACTGAACTATTTTATTTCGGTTCAGAGTTCTTTATCGCTTATTACAGCCCGCAGAAGCATATCAGCTCCAGAAGTCGGTTTTTCAACGATCGCCTGGACCACAGATTAAGAACGTTCGCCAAAACTCCGGCGATAATAGTTCAAAATACGAATTATAAACAAAGGCTGGCAACAAAAAATGTTTTCACATTTCTTGTGTTAAAAATCTTGAAAATCGGTATTAAATGAAATTAATTGCTCATTGCAAGTAGTATTAATGTAGGTCGGAACAACGAAATTCGTCAGCCAGTCGACTAAAAGCGCGCAGCATCTTATCAACAAAACAAGAGAAAACGTAAATGTTGAGTACCCCGACTATCAGATACCCTTTACTCAGCTAATGGAAAAGCGAGGGAGACGGAGATATACATGCAGCAAAGCGACTGCTTGCACTGCTTGAATTCCATTGTTTGCTCATAATTTTTTAATGAACGGTCCGTTTAAAAAAATGTTTTCTTTTAACTGTTACATACTATTTCACGAATACAATATACCCTTTTACTCTAACTCTTTTACTAACGGGTATAAAAAACTTACAGCATTTTTTTTAAATGTAAAACTTGTAAAATAAAATAATTCCGATACCACAAAACTAGTTTAAATCACTTTCTTTATTAACAAAGTGATTGATGAAGTTCCAATAAATGGTTAAGAGTATGCGAAACTGACAGCTTTTGGCTTTCTTTCCGTTATCTGATAGACAACCTCAGGTGGATTCGGAGTTGTGGTCGACTGAGCAGTTCCCATTTTAGTATATAATGAGGAAACTTCCTCAGGGGGATCGGCCATTCGGGTCGATTGCGCTGATTTCCGACCCACAATTTTGATCGTCTCTTTGGAATCTAAAAATATTCTCCAGGGAGAGCTGGCTGAAGATTTAGTTTCGACGGGGGGATCATGGGTGTACGCAAAGATAACATTTTTTTGGCGTAATCGGTCCATTGCAATGGGATCGAAGATGGGCGGCAAGGTTATTAAGATTTCATCAACTTTCTTCTGTCTCCATTTTTGAAAAGAAAAGTAAATTAAAGAGGTCAGTGCGAAAACGATTACGACCGCAACAGACAGACTTATTCCAAGACCAAGAGAATTAGGCAATTCTTTTAAAGATTCGGACGGGTCTCCGTACCACTTCATGAAACCGCCGGAATCTATGTATTCCGCCACCACTGCCATGTTTAAAGAAGAGTTCGAGTCCTGGAACTGATAAGATCTTGCCCACCTAGTCCGCCAGCCATTTCTTTTAAGCTGTTCAACATTTTCACAAATATGGGGGCTGTTTGTGTGTGAATGGCATGAGAATACGTAGTAGCCAGTAACGTTCTTTTCCTCCAGGGGTGGATCCCAAGAGAGGGTGTTGTCCACTAAGTGGAACTGCAAGTTCCGCGGCTGTCGCCGCTTATAGTTGGTCAGAATTGGAACCGAGCGATTATTGCTCTCCAACGATCGACCCAAGGAGTTCTGACTCCAAACTAATATCGTGGACGGTTGCTGTAGATCCCAATCGCAAAAGACCGCAGAGCTTTTGCCCTTGAGCAGCGGCTTCTTTCTGAAAGTAAGGTAGGAAATTCTTAACTGTTAACACAATTATACCGAAATTACGGCTGACCTGTAGGGTTGGTAAAAAAGATCGATAGCACTATCGATACTATCGATGATTTAAGAATTTAGGAAAAAACAAGAGGGAACGCTATAGTCGGGCCCCGACTATCAGATACCCGTTACTCAGCTAAAGGAAGTGCGAAGGAGATGGATATAAAATCTTTGATCCGCCGTAACTTTTTAACGAATTGTCCGATTTAAAAAATTTCTTCTACATGTCGATAGGTATTGATAAAAAACATAAAATTGCATTTTTACTTTTCCGAAATATTGAAATTTTTAAAATCGTATATAAGCGATTGTGGGCGTTAGAGGGGGCGTGGCACCCTTTTGAAACAAACTTGCGCTGCGTAGGAACTCCTAGAATCTGCATGCAAAATGTCAATCTTCTAGCTTTTATAGTTTCCGAGATCTCAGCGTTCATACAGACAGACAGACGGACAGACGGACAGACAGACGGACATGGCTAGATCGACTCGGGTAGTGATCCTGGTCAAGAATATATATACTTTAAAGGGTCGGAAATGCTTCCTTCTGGCTGTTACATACTTTTACACTATGAGTAACGGGTATAACAAGTATTTTAAATTATATATTTTAAATGTACGGTATTTTTGTAATTTATTTTTGATTTTCTTCAATTTCCGATACTATTGATAATATCAATCAAAAGCCAAAAACATCGAGGGTCCACTATCGATGTTTTAACAACCCTACTGATCAGTACTCTTCGAAATGTTGAACAAGCTTACCCCGTATCTGTAGCCACTGAGTACGTAAAGTTGGGTCCGTTAAACTCCAGTTCCTTCAGTTCTAACCAAAAAACATGCATCTCATTTTTTTGTGGGTCGAAGAAGAAACCATTGTCCAGGAACTCCGGTGGCTTATCGGGCACGGAGGCCTTGGTAGTGAATGATAGTTTTTTTTCATCGTCCGACCAGGGTGCATTTTTGCGGTTGAAGCGGACTCTTAAGTGGACCTCATGGGACTGGTAGTGAAATGGCGGGATTCTGAAGCAAAGATCTTTCCGCTGATTGAAGCCAGCTTCTAAATAGGAAATTACCTTGGTCTTTTGCTTCTCGATCGCCGGATTCTGCGGCTTCAGTTCCACTTTCCATTTGTATGAGTCGGATTTATTAAACGGTTGCGAAATCGAAAATCCAAAATTCACGCAAATCGCGAAACCCGACTGCTCAATATGGGGCTCGTTACTCGGCCAACCCGGCTTCCTCATTTTGATGTCAGTTAGGTAAAAACTATTCTTTTGTAAAATACCATTCGAATGTGTTTCAATAGTGAAACTTCGGTTAAATCCATGAAAATTAGCTGGATATTGTAGCCTGCACTGGACATCTGTGCAAGGAGCTCTAAGCTTTCTGTCCATGACTAAAGAAATTCCATTGAATATATCTTCTGTCCTGACATGATAAAACGTGCACTTTAATTCCGTCTTGGTATCAGTGTAGAAGCAACGAAAATCTCTAATTTCAAGAAAGCTAAAACGCGTTATGATAGCTTTGCTTGGCATTTGGTTATCCGGCCAAATACACTTGTACTCGAACCCCTCTTTCTTTTCCCGTGACCGGCGATAACCGTTTATGTTTACTGTGTAGCAGATGGTGAAGTCGTCCTCGTTCACCGTTGGCAGCCTTCGGTTCTCCTTCATTACTTGAATATTCCAAGGTTTCGGGTCGGTTCCGATGTAGAAGCAGCATACGTCTTTATCATATGACCTTGCAATGGTATACATAATTCCATCAAGTTGAACAGCTGACCAAAAACTGGCCATTACCGTCACTAGTAAAAACGAGCGCCATCCCATGTCGACTTCAAAATATAGACTGAATAATTTATTTTACTGCTTAGAGCTTATTCAAACTCGCAGCATCGTATCAGTTTCCAAACTCAACATTTCAACTATCGCTTATTTGTATAAATTTTCGGCAATATTGTCGAGATAAGGGTGGCAGCCACATAATTAAATTTTTGTTTTACGATTTATATTCAATTATAATTATCTCTGAATCTCTACATGTTCTACATATTGGATAGTTTTTCGTTTGTTCAATAAAAATCGGAATAATTTAATCTTCATCTTATCAGCGAAGGAAGTAAAAAAAAAAAATATTGATAAATAGCATAAATTATAATTACCAAAATTTCAAAAAAGTATTTAATAAAATGTTGCCTACATTTCATCGCTTATGCTTTTCTTATTCTTCGAATTCCTATTTATTCTTTCATTAAGTTCATAATATTGTAGCAATCTCATTATTTTATATCTCCTACTGGGCTAACAATTTCTCTACCCAGACAAACGGAGGTACTTTAAAGTTGCATTTGCAATTAATACCATGGTCCCCGAGCAACAAAGCCAAATGGCCCGTTACTTGGCTATGCATAGCATACATTTCATTTGATTTAGTTGTCCTCGTCACCGGTGGAGTGGATGGAGTGGTTCCACCTCCAGGTGATGGTGGTGCAAACTGGACCCAGAGAGCTGGTGTTGCTGCCACTAAACACATTGTGCGCAAATCCCAAGCCAAATCCCAGACGTGCTATTCTGCCTGCTGGGCTGCATCAAATGCATCGGAATGGATGCGAGCGAAGCGAATGAGGATGCACCGATAGAAAGGAGCTAGATGTTAGCAAATAAACAAGAGAGAACGCTATAGTCGGGTGCCCCGACTATCAGATACCCGTTACTCAGCTAAAGTGCGAAGGAGATAAAAACTTTGATCCGCCGTAACTTTTTAACGAATGGTCCGATTTAAAAAATTTCTTCTACATTTCGATAGGTATTGATAAACCCCATAAAACTGCATTTTTACTTTTCCGAAATATTGAAATTTTTAAAATCGTATATAAGCGATTGTGGGCGTTAGAGGGGGCGTGGCACCCTTTTGAAACAAACTTGCGCTGCGTAGGAACTCCTAGAATCTGCATGCAAAATGTCAATCTTCTAGCTGTTATAGTTTCCGAGATCTCAGCGTTCATACAGACAGACAGACGGACAGACGGACAGACGGACAGACGGACATGGCTAGATCGACTCGGCTAGTGATCCTGATCAAGAATATATATAGTTTATAGGGTCGGAAACGCTTCCTTCTCCCTGTTACATACTTTTGCACGAATCTAGTATACCCTTTTACTCTACGAGTAACGGGTATAAAAATATATTTGGAACTATTGTACATTTTTTAAAGAGTCAGTTGGACTAAAAAACTAGGCAAGCTGAGAACGTGTTAAATTTAATATTAAAATCTTATCATTTCAATAAATTTAATTACAATTTCAGGATTGCGTAATTTTTATACTACCAGAAGTACTTTAAATAACTTCGGATCATGATGTTTTTGATGTTTATGCTGATTGTTGCAGAAAATATAATAAATTCGAAACCATTTTTTTTTTTTTTGGGGTTACTTGGGGTAAACTAATTTTCTACCTCAAATAATCCCTGCAATAAAAACACTTTATAATTATTTTAAAGCAGCAGAGTTACCCCTTTGTGCTTTGTATTAATTTCTGAAACATTTTCAAAAGTTTTTTGGTTCAGTGTGGGTGCTGCATTGGCATGCGAACTGCATTGACAGCATTTTAGAGTGGGTCACTCTCCAGCGCCTTCGGGGGCAGCAGGTGGGCGTGGTGCCATTTTAGTGGCATGTTTGTGCTAATTTATTACGCCTGCGAAGCATAATGCCTCCTGCCATCTGCCACCTATCCTCCATTGCAATTTGGGATGGGATGGGATGGGATTGCCGATGGGAAACGAATGCCGCTGCCACTGCCACATTACAAATCGGCAAACAGAGACACACGGCAGGGGATAACGACTGAAACGACTGAAACTGAGGCGACAGAGGGAACAGCCAGATATGGAGGCCTCGGGGAATGCTGCAAATGAATGTCTAATTAATTAAAGTGCGAACTGCACTTTGCTCATTGTTGGGCGCCACGATTTGGCAGCGGGCATTAATTGCCGGGCACAGGGCACAGTAAACATGTTTAGCGAGTCGAGTTCGAGTCTCTGCAACCTTCAATTCTCCCTCCTTCCCCCTCCACCGACGCAATATATATACCCAAATGATTTGCTTGATTTATTGAAATTGCTGCCGGGTCAGTCGAATCTGCCCCTTCTTCCCTCGAAAAAGGACAAATTTTCTATGCACACACACATAAAATGCAATTTTATACACTCATAAAAATAATTTTCTACATTTTAGAAAATCGCCCTAAAAAAATTTTCGCCGTTGAACTGAGAAAAATTTTCTATTTTCATGACAAATTTGCCATAAACTCAAGGCACGTGACCATAAAAAAATCTTTTTAGGGTTAATTTTTCTATTTTTCTAATATTTAGGGCGATTTTTTTCGACTTGCTTCGTTTTGACCTTTTCTAAATCCAACGGCGAATTGCCCTAATTTTTTCTCTAAAATTTTTCTAAATACAAGGCGGTTTGCCTTAAAAATCACTCCAAAAGTGTGAAATTCGGTAGCCCAGCGGTCTAATCACTTGCGCTTTCAACTTTGCTATATGAGGACTAAGGTCGTGGGGTTGTGGGTTCGAACCCTATGTGATTCAACTTGATTTTTGTTTTTTTTTTTTCTGTAAACATTATAATACCAAGGACATTTTTTCGTCCGAATTTTAAATTAAAGTAGTCTTTAAACCTTAAAAACGTATGGGAGTTCTGAGTTAAAAGCATACTTTGTGTTTGCGGGCAAGAAAACGGGACTAATTGTCACAGTCGTCAGGAAAAAATATACGGTTTAGTTGCCTTTTGTCAAATTATAACGTAGACCTAAAGAAAATAAGATGTGTGCAGAGTTTGTTCGTCGTCTTGCGCGATTGGTCTGTGGTGCAGCGGTAGGACGTTAGACTCTAAACCGAGAGGTCGTGGGTTCGATTCTCGCAATGACCAAAAAAAGTAAGTTGTTTTTTCTCCTTATATTTATTTCCCTAATTCGTTTACAAACATGATTTTTCAGTTCCTAACGGCTGTGCTGTATAGATCGGGCCCCCTCTTAACGCAGCTCCCATATAAGCTACACACCAATACAATAATATGAAACGATGTTCTCCGCCGGTGTTGTTTAATTAAAGCAGTCACAGTTCCCAGAATATACACGATTAAAATGCATGCTTCCCAAATTCAGTTAAGCATGCTCAAACACGATTTTTTTTTAATTGTCTAATTTTTTAGGGCGTTTGCCTTTAAAAACAGAAAATGTTCCCTTAGTTTTAGAAAAATACACCTTAAAATTAGGGCAAATCACCCTAAAAACAGGAAAATATTTCTCAATTCAAGAAAAATCACCCTAAATTAAACCAAATTTCCATACGGATTTTTTAGAAAAATTTTCTAAATACACGGGCGAATCGCCAGCGGATACGATTTATGGGCGATTTTCTAAATCCACGGGCGAAAAGTCAGTTTTTTAAGGCGATTTAGGGTAAAAATTTCTATGAGTGTACGGCGCGTCGAAACTTTTAGCCCCAAATAATATCATTTTCCTGCAGGGAATGCACTGAAAAATAAATTCTGGAGAGTTTTTTTCAAATATTTTAATGTTATTTACAATTTTTTAATTTTGATCCTTTCCGGATGCCAATCAAATGCTTCAGGGAATAGCCTCTTTCAATCATCAGTAACCTTTTTCTATATTTTCTGTGGCTCATTAAAGATTACAAATTTTGAAAATATTATAAATTGTAATGTATACAAAAATTTATTCATAAATTCAACATTTTTAATTAAGATTACCCTTATTTTTATACCCTTGCAGAGGGTATTATGATTTCAGTCAGAAGTTTGCAACGCAGTGAAGGAGACGTTTCCGACCCCATAAAGTATATATATTCTTGATCAGCATCACTAGACGAGTCGATCTAGCCATGTCCGTCTGTCCGTCTGTCCGTCCGTCTGTCCGTCTGTCCGTCCGTCTGTCCGTCCGTCTGTCCGTCCGTTTCTACGCAAACTAGTCTCTCAGTTTTAAAGCTATCGGGATGAAACTTTCGTAAAAGTCGTATTTCTATTGCAGGTAGTATATATGTCGGAACCAACCGGATCGGACAACTATATCTTATAGCTCCCATAGGAAGGATCAAAAAATAAAAACGTAAAAAAATTCTAGCTCCGGTGTTTTTTGAAATTTTACCTTCTACTCTTGGGAATATTTTTTTTTATATATTTCTGAATTTCGGTTTTTTTGTTTTTTAAATCGGATCACTATATCATATAGCTGCCATAGGAACGGTCGAAAAATTAAATCGAAATTAATGTGAAAAAAATTATATCTTTGTTGGTTTTTATTACATTTCCTTCTACTCTGGGATATGACTATTTTGAAATATTTCCGAATTTCGATTTTAATTTTTAAAAGATCGAACTACTATATCATATAGCTGTGATAGAAACGATCGAAAAATGAATGTGAAATAATAAGAAATTTAACATTTTTGCGATTTGTAAACTAATAGAATGATCTGCAAGGGTATATAAGCTTCGGCTTGCCGAAGCTAGCTTCCTTTCTTGTTCTGTGTATTTTCTATTTTTTTTTGCGTTTCTGGCGCATCTGCAGCGCTGAAATTGTCGCGGGATGTTAGCCCTGAGCCCATTTTTCGCCCCTTTTCCCCTCTGCACTCCACGTCTATGCGCACAAAGCTTAGCGGGACATAAATAATAAATTTGCAACGTTTGCATTTTACCAGCACATGCTTGTGTGTGTGTGTTTCTATAGCTAGACCTGCATAATTGTGTTCGTCTGTGTACGGGGAACATTAACAATTTATCAATGAATCGGAAAAGCAACAAGCCAATAAAAATCACTCCGTTTGACCGGTGACATTGCGACTGCCATTCCATTTCCCATTCCATCTATCCCATCTGACTTTTCGATTCAACTCCTTCCCAATGTGGGCTAATTTTTGACCTCCCCACGTTACAAATGTCAAACAGCAGGATGATATTAATGTTAGAATGTTTTTATTACATACCAAATTTCATAAATTTAAAAAGTTAAAATAATATTTATTGTTCAGGCTTAAAAGCCTTTTCCGAATTGGTGTAAAATTTAGCTTTATAAATAAAATCGGGGTCACCAATGCCGACAATATAACATGGTTTATCTGAGACAGATGATAAATTCGCACATTTGACCCCATTGCATAATAAAAACGTTAACAAATAGTTTACGTAACAATAAGTTAGGATTTCTACTGATCGGGGTCACCAAATACTCTACATTACACAACGTCAGTAAGTAAGTGTAAAGTCAAATAGGGATATCTACAATAAGTTTACAAAATGTTCTTGTCTTCGCTACGCGTCAGTAAAATTTCGCAATAGATGTCGTCGTCATGTGACCGATATAAGAACCATCTACATTCTGTTTACATATTAATTCTACATATCAAGAAAATTGTCAAGTTATAAAAATGATTGACTAGACCTGCAAAACTATCGATAGCTCATCGTTTTATATCATCGATAGAATCCAAAAAATTTGAGTCGTAATATCTTAAAGATTTTTTTAAGGTTAAACAGAAGTATAAAACAAAAAAAACTTGCCACAGTTGCTTTAAAATTCGATAGTATCGAAGGTAGCAGCTTTAGACAAACTCAACCCTTGCAGATCTACCATTCAGTGTTGATTTATTTCGATTTATTTGTATAACTCTTATTTCAGTTGACCTGATGATGTTTTGGGCTCTTTATTAAAAATACTCTACCAGCTTTTGACTGTAATCCATAAGGGTTTTGTGTACAATAATGACCATTCTTTAACTTTAATGTACAGGCTAACATGCGCTACGAACTACCGAAATATACAATGCACCATATACAACAGTTATATCCGGGGATTGCTTGATAAACAATAAAACAATGTCCTCCTCAAAGGAGCCCTAATATGTTGCCACCGATTTCTGTTCCAACAGAGATGATCTCTTGGTTTTATATATATCACTCCGGATCCAAAAAATAATGGGATAGGGGCTTTAGAAGGAAGGAGAGTGCGTGGTTTAAATGAAAATTGCATTTATTTTGGCATGATAAATGTAGACGTATAAAATTAAACTAAACATGTACTAAATTAAAATGTAATAATCACAAAAACGCGTAGCTAACACAAATCCGATTGCATCCCACCGTAATAATAGTAATTGCTTTTTATCACCAGTTGGCCAGGTTCCCTCCTCTCATTACTTTTCTTTCCTCCTCCCCTGTCCGGGAAATGGGAAATGGATTTCCCAACCCGAACGGCACCGCTTTCTATCACAAGGGAATGGTTTCTACTTCCGCTTTCCACATCTCGCCTTTACTTCCGTTCGATTGCACGCTGGATCTTTAATGGTTTCCAAAGTTGATTGCCAAAAAGAAAAGAGTAGAGAAAGGTGGCTGCTTCTTCTTGAGAGTACAACTTAGGGACGGAGTGAAGAACGTTGGGAGAAAGTCGCGTCCTGAATTCTGCTTCGATTCGGTTTCTTGTTTCTTGTCTACAATTTGTTATGTTTTCAACCTACTTAAGTTCAGACTCTTTTCTGCTTGGTCACAAGAATTATACCTCAATTTAAGTGTGTGCTTCTCTTCGAAGTGGGGCTCTACGTGGGTACTCCTAGTTTTATATATAGATCTATGTAAATTCCATTTGGTTTGGTATGCAGAACAGCTACTGTATGGGTGGTATATATATATCCATGGGTATATATTTAGAATCCTCTTCTAGATGCCAAAGCGATGTCTATCTGTCTGTCCATCTGTCGGTATAAACGTACAAAGCCCGACGGGAGAAGTTGAAGAATGCGGTAAAGCTACGATCTAGCTACAATCCTGGTATCCCACTCTCCCTCCTCGCCCCCTAGCCCCCCAACCTTTTCTATATACAGGTGATCTCTAACGTATGTGGTATAGTAATGATAACCCTAGACTATGAACAAATCCCACTTGGAACCGCCTAGCGGATCATGTGCAGTTTCCATCGCAGCACGAAATACGCGATGATGCGCAGGGCGAAGAATATTCCGATGAGGGCGACGGCATCCACCCAGAACAGAGCGTTATCCATGGACATCTCCTCGAGGAACTTCTTGGGCATGCGGTAGTGACAGTACATCTGGTTGCAGTGCATCTTGGGCCGATCCATTCCGTAGATGGCCACCATGGCTCCTAATGGATAAAATATTAAAGATAATATGATACATATGATCGACTTATGATCCCAACTCACCTTCGAAGCCATAGCGCACATAACTGACGTACGTGACCCACTGCAGGTAGCCCGGAATGGTGTCAAAGTTCACAAAGAACCCGGAGAACAATATCGTGGGTATTGTGGTCACGGGACCCAGGAATACCCCCGTCTCGATATTCATCCCCGCTCCGATCAGCAGACCCAGCGATTGGGCCACCAGTGAGTTCAGCACGCAGATTAGCACAAACATCGAGACCCGGTTCAATTCCATGGGCTGGGAAGTTAGGTAATACACCACTAGGACATAGACGCTCGAGAAGACGATCTGAAGGGGAATAAAAAAGTGTTAAAAAATGATACAGTAATGTAGACTTAGGACTTAAAGATATTCTGATATATCTCATGATCATTAAATAATAGAATAATATTAAGGTTTTTGCTTTCAGTTGTATAGATGTAGTAAAGAAAGTAAAAAGCTACGATTCATTATCAAAATAAAGTCTCATAAAAATTTCAGCACTTCCTTTACAGGATAAATCTAATCATTACTAAAATCTATTTAAATTCGTAGTTCTTAGAATGTTTGGAATTAAAATTTAATTATCAGTGAAACATACGTTTTATATAACTACCGCTTCTTTAATTTAAAGATTTAAAGATTGGATTTTTATTCACCTGAAACGGCATGTCCGCCAGGGTCTTGGCAAAGTAGAAGGCCTTCAGCGAGTACCAGTAGTTGAGATGCTCCCTCACGAACACCGACATTTCGGTGGGGACTGCGAATTAAAGATTCCAGATTGAAATTGAGCGAAAGGAACCATGAAATCTCACAACTCACAGGTCAGAATGGTGGGCATCATGGCGGTGAAGGTGGTGAACAGGGAGACGAAGAAGATGCAGCCGGCGTTGCTCATGATCTTGCTGGCCTCGTTGCCCACATCGTAGTAGATCATCCCGATGATGGCGCCCACGATGACGTGCGAGAAGAGTCGCATGTGGGTGAGCATCTTGTCCCTCAAAATGGTGCGAAAGGAGCGCTTGAGCAGGATCCAGAACTGGGTCCATCCGCTGGTGGGGAAGCCCGTCTTGCTGGGCAGGGTGACCACGCTCTCGTGCGAGTCCAGCAGCGAGGTCATGCAACCCACCACGGCACTGGGTCCTCCGCCGGATCCTCCCGAACCCACCGCATTGTGGGTGGTGCCCTTCGAGGAGCTGAAGCTGCAGCTGTCATCCACGGCGGCGGTTGGCATATTGACCACGCTGCAGTCGGAGTTCTGCGACTGCTGCGTCTCCAGCTTCATCGGTGGTTTCAGCTCCTCCGCGGGATCCTCTACGAGGATCGAGGGTTCCAGCGGCGGCTTCTCATCCTCCAGGGTTAGAGTGGCCGTCGCCCCACTGCCACCGCCCTTGATAATGTCATTCTGGCCCATCTTCTGGGCCAAGGTTAAAACATAATCCTTGTGCGCGTACTTCTTGCAGGCACCACTCTTCACCGCCTCCACCAACTTTGGCACTGCATCTCCGTACTCCCCGGAGGCCACCTCCAGAACGTAATCAGCGGGGTTGTGATACGAGGGGCACTCGTAGCCCAGCGACGAGAGGTAGGGCACCAGACCCCTCACTCTGCCCTCGTAGACGCACTGTCCCTGGGCCAGCAGATACAGATGATCGAACTTCTCGAAGAGTCGCGCCGACGGCTGATGGATGGTGCAGACTATGGTCCTTCCCCCCCGAGCCAAGGATCTCAGCAGTGAAATCAACTGGAAGCAGGTGGAGCTGTCTAGTCCCGAGGTGGGTTCATCGAAGAACATTACGGGTGGATTGTTCACCAGTTCGAGGGCAATCGACAGACGCTTTCTCTGACCACCGGATAGGTTGCATGTCAGCGTATTCACCGACTCCTTCAGGCCTATCGTCTCGAGAATCTCCTCGACCACCACCACCTTGGCGTAGCTGATCATGTTCTTGCCCAGCTTGAGGTTGGCGGCCACCATCATGGCCTCGCGAACGGTCAGGTTGCCGATCAGGACGTCGTCCTGCATGATGTAGCAGGAGAGCTTGCGGAAGCGCCGCAGATTCCGCTCTTTGCTGTTTATCAGCACCGATCCACTCAGTTGGGAAGTTCTAGGAAAAGTTAAGAGTTTTGTTAGTTGAAAGTTGATATTTGATAATGGTTTAGTTGGATTTTGGTCCCTCGAGCCGGATCTTTTTCTAGCTTATGGTATCCGGCTCGAAGGACCATCACTCTAAAACCTTTAGGTTATAACTCACTTGTAGCCAGCCAGGATGTTCATCAGCGTGCTCTTTCCGGCTCCCGAGGGTCCCATGATGGCCGTGATCTCGCCATTCCGGAACTTGCCCGAGACGCTCTTGAGTATGGTCTTGAAGCCCCGCCGATGGCTATCGGCCACCGAGTAGGATATATCACAGAACTCAATGTCCACCGGCGGCCTTTGCGGCAGATGGGACAGGGCGATGGTGCCCTTCTTCTGGCCATTGGGACTCCCGCCGCTGTTGTTGGCCACCTTGGGGGCCAGTCCATGATTATTACCGCCCAAGCCGCCGTTGCAAAGGTTGTTCTGGGAGCTAAAAAGGAAAGAGAAAGTTTTTTCATTTAGTTGTGTGTCATTTGCAAGGTATTTTAAGTAAAGCTTAAAAAATATTGACATTATCGATATTTTCGATATTTTCAAGCATCGATATTTATCGAAAGCATCAATGTTTTTAAGGTTTTGTGATAAACATATGAATTTAATAATGAAATGAATTAAAAACATCGATATAATCGATTCAATATAGTGCAAATATCGAAAATATCGATATTTTTCAAGCTCTAAATCTAAGGGGTTTTGTTCGATTCCTACTTGGTCCTCTTTTGCAGGGCACTGACACAGCCTCCATTCTTGGTCAGCTTGGCCTGGACCAAGGACATGGAGCGCTGCTGCTGCTGCAGCATTTCCGCATAGGCCGCGGCATAGGCGACCGACCTCCGGCGATTGACATCCTCGTGGGACAGTGACTGTGATTGCAATTGCGATTGAGATGCAGCTGTATCGAAACTGGAGTTCTGGATGCCCCCACTTTCCACGCTGACGCAGCGGGTTAGCTTAAGTTCCATAATTACTTGCAGTAAATCAGCTAAACACTCTTTAGCGCCTCATGATGCCGCCCCCAGAACGACCTGAATCGCCAATCAATGGATCAATCAGCAGCGTCAGTCATTTAGTGACCCCTCTTTGCACCCATCTCAATGATTTCCACCCATCGCCACCCATCACTCAACCACTGCCCACCTCCCACTTTCGAAAGGCCAAAGTTCGTTCTGGTTTTTGTTTCATTCATGAAACGGCTGTCGCATGCGGGTTCTACTCATTCCTCATTTCTCTTGGCTGAAAGCCAAAGCCAAAGAGCCGAGTGCGTTTTCATTAGTGGCAAACCGACTTCGATTGATAAGTCCGCCGACGCCAACCGACCGACGACTGCAACTACGGGCCAATGCCAATTAACATTACATCTTTTTGGGTGCAAATTTGTTGAGCTAGTTGGTCGAAATTGATTGATTGGGAAGCCCCTCGATGTTAGAAAGCGGCCAGTAATTAGTAGGTATGCGAAGCCAGCGTGAGGGGATTAAAGGTCAGTGTATCCAGCTGAACTACTTATCACTGGCGTGTCGAGAAGCCAGGAATGAATATAGAAAGCTGTACAGCGAAGCCTTATAAAGGAGGGATTTTGATTGTAATTTAATGATTTTAAAAAAATATTTTATTAGTTTAATTGTTTTTTTTTTCATTTTATTTATTTTTTTAAATTTATTTATTTTTCTTATTTATTTATACTTATGTTCCTTGCATTTTAAAGAATAAAATCCCACACATACGGGAAAGAGCAAGCACTGCATTTAAAGATAAAGCTGCATAAAGAGTTCCGATATCACAGAGTTCCCTTGTCACTCACTGTATACCTAGTAATATTCCCTATATTCACTCACTCAGCAGGCACTATGGACTCCATTTATGTGTAGTTCTCCAATTATAGAGTAAGCAATTACTTTCTGGAATCCGCTTCGGCATACAGTATAATTTCTATAATTTCGAGGCGAGCGTAATGCCAAGATATTAAAATAAAATTGCTGGTAATTCTGGTGGGGGGAAAGTCAGCTGTTTCGTTGGCTGTGAGCCATGCTAAGTGAATACAGATACAATTGAGAGTGAGACTATAAACAATTTCAGCTCTGCTTTGTTTGGCTTTTGTTTGTGCTTTTGCTATTGCTTTGCTTTGGCTTTGCTTTGCTCTGCTTTGGCCTCTTTCAGTTACGATAAATATTTCATTTTTTGTTTATCGGTGTGAGTAGTCGTATTGCGAATCATTTCCCGCGAATATCTCGGTGCACGAGCACCGAGAGCGAGTACATTTCAAGTGCGCATGCACCCAGAGTGCATGTGCTAACGAACTCAGCACTCAGTATCCAATACCATATACCCCTACCATTCGCAACTCAACGAAGACTCGACGAAGTTTAAGGCACTTTGTCTTGCGAAATGCACTCAGAATAAAGAGACTGTTTTCCTTTTCCTCTAAAGAAAAATGGAGGTGGGGTAAAATACATATAAATTAAACTCTTCTTCGCAATTCAAGCATTCAATTGGATTCAAATGGAGTCGGCCACGCAATCCCTTCCGGGTTTCTTTTCATTTCGATTGCTTATCAATCTTAATGCGTGGTAATTGTTGCCAGGTTCGGTGGCATCGATTGCGGGCCCTACTTAATTGATTGATAGCCGGCCATAAAGCAGCAGCTGCTGAATTGAGTTACTAGCAACTCAATATATATCTGCCTCTGCCGAGCTACTGACTATTTTAGTTCTGAATTTCGTGAACCTTGGGGCCACGGCGCCAGTTACATTGTGTTCGCACTGATTAGGCACAACCGGAAATATCAGCTGGCGTTAGGTCATCCCCGCTTAACGACAATTAAGCGATTTAGAAAAGCGGTCGTGGAGGCGATTCATTGCGATTAATAAAAGTATTAATAAAAGCAAATGTGCCAGCCGATGGTATCTTGAGCAGAAACAGAGCAGGAGTGACGCCTTTCGCAAAAGCTTCAATTAAAGCTCGTGAATTCCAACATAATTTAGGGGAATTTCTAAAAAATAAAGTGATGCTGCCTTCTGCAACCAAAAAATACAACATTTAAAAAGGAAAACATCATGTGCATTGTTATAAAATTTAATCATAATGCTTTAGAAATGCCCTCTTCGAATAAATTGAAAATCGTTAAAACATTTCTTCTATGATAGAAAAGTACAAAAATAAATACATAAAAAATACTATATTTTATATTGTCCATTTAAAAATTTGGCCTTAAATATGCTTTCTTCGGAATAAATCATTCAGAATAAATAGAATTAGAAATTCTATTTGACCTTTTTATTCTTTCTGTGATTGTGAAAATATAATAAAGCGAATGTAATATATTATTTATTTATATTGACCATTTAAATATGACTTCGTTGAAATAAATTATTCTGAATATATTGAAAACAAATCGAGAAATATGATAAAGCGAATGCAATATATTATTTATTCATGTGGTTCGGGACTTATTTATTCTTTCCAAAAGCAATTATTCAAACGTTATGCATGGGAACAATCATGTGGCTTTAATTCCTGGGCCATTCAATTCGAGCTATTAAGGAAACGCGGCAAGGCCAATCAAATGTGGAAACGGATGTGTGGGCGTGGAAGTGGGAAGTGGGCGGCTGAGGGTTGGAGGTGGTCTACTCCTGAGCGTGGGAGAAGGTCCTGTCCAGGACCTGCCGCTGCTACTTTTGTGTGCCCTCGAGGCGGGGAAGAAGGTCAACATGGCAGTCGAGTGTGTTGGCTGGCTTTCTTGACTTTTGCGGTCGTTCAATCGAACCAAGGATGCACAGGTTGTCATTCGTTGGAATAAAAATGGGGAAAAGAAAAGGCAGAGACGCCTCAAAGTCTGGCACTGCACTTGGTATTTTGTCGTTTTTGAGTTTGCGGCAACTTCACATTACATAACCGGCCGGCGTACACGGCGTATACGTTATACGTAGTCCACTTGTCCACTTGCCAAAAGAAAAAATCACACGTAAATAACAGCCACGTGGAGGACCGCACACTGTGTATCTCCCCCTATTGTGGGAGTCTTTTCTCTAATAAGCACATCAATATTTAAGGACGAAAAAGAAAACTAAGGCAAACGGAGTGGCCCGCACACAGACGCGATGTTGCCGCAGGACTAAAAAGCTAGAAAGCTGAAAAAGCCGAACGGAGTCCAACTGCTGACTGCGGCACGACTTTGGACAGCTTGGCGGCTTGTTCGATTTTTCCAGGCACCCGGCGCCGCGAGGCTCTCCACTGTCCTCTTGCCTCATAAAAGGGGTCTGCCGACTCGGCCAAGAGATATGGCTTGGTAGTATTGTGAGTAACTGATTTCTTCGACCAAGTAGTGATGTATTTAATTATTTAATATCCTTAAAATGAGGAACTTATATCAATTTTTTTTAACATTTTTATACGAAAAATAACCATATGGAAGCTCCTATTTTTCTCATATTTCAATCTTTATAGGTATTTACATACCATTTGATTTTAATTGGATTTTATGTTATAAGAAATTAGTTAGAACATGATTTTTCTTTGCCAATGACACGCAAAGCATACAAAAAAATAATATTTCGATTATAAATAAGTTAAGAACCCCCTGAAATCCTTCAGCCTATTTTTTTTTTCATTTTTCGATTTTTCTATTTTTTTTGGGATATAAAGAAAATTTTAATAATAATTACCTACACATGTGTATCTCTTTAGAAACAGAACACGCACATTGTACAACAATATTTCCAATAGAAAATCCTTGAGCAAGGGAAACCCCCATTCGGCGTTACTTTCAGAGCCCCCAGGACCCCTTTTGTCTGCCCGCCTTGTATTGTTTTGCTTGGTCTTATGGCTTTTACGGCTTTTTGCCTTTTGGCGGCGTTTCATTCACTGTTACATGTTTTATTTTTCTTTCTCTGGTTTTCTCTGGTTTTCCCTCTCCCTTTCCCGGCACACATGTGCGTTTGCTTGTGGCTTATTATTTATGGCAGTGCCGACAGGGCGGGAAAAGAGGGGGTGGGGGTGGCGGACCGGGTCGAAAGGACACGTAGGATAGGTTGGCATTTAAGGCGCTCTTTATGTCTGCTTTACTGTTCGCTTCCCATCGAATCCTTGGAATCCTGGGGCCTCACTGATTGCCCAGGATTGTGCAGCATTCGAAAAGCTGTCCTCGAAAAAGGCCCCGCCTGCCCACAAGTTTAATTAGATTGCTGGACCTGCATTGATTGGTTTAGTGGGCGTTTTACCAATGGACTTTCAATTTGCATTTTAATTAAGTCACTAGGTATACACCAGGTAGAAAGTTCAAGGCTGGTGGGATAAAATCCCAGTCGTAACTTTCGCAATTCTAATGCAATTTAAGACCCAAAGTTTTCAGTTATCCGAGAGAGAGAAGCTTTAAAATTATTTTTACAACGATGCATAATTTAGGAGGGGGCGTGGTTGGCACCATTTCCATGCCGACACGCGATTTGTGAGACGGAGTCGAGGCTTCGAGGAGCCATCGATTTTCCAGGGCATTTTCCTCTTCCTTTTCCGTTCAGCCGACACACCTCAAATGTCCTGGCAGGTGGCATGTTCCAAAAACGGAAGGAAGATACGAGCATTACAGATGCGTGCTAATTTTGACTCGACATTCTCGTATTAATAGCTATTCCCACTCCTTTTTCATAGCTTTGATTTTTCTGTAATGGTTTTATGCGGCGAGGTGTTAAAAATAGAAGTGTCGCCTCAGCGGAAAAGTGACTTGTGACAGTGTGATTAGTTAGCTGATACACTCGACCACCTTTCCACCCACAAAGCCACACAAAAAAGCCATACACCCACCCACGGGAAAGTCCTTGGCTTCCACAAGCGGAAATTGCAGAGTGGCCGCAGGAACGAATGCAATTCTATACAGCAGTTCAGGGTCACGGGGACATAATTCAATTCATTCCCGCTTATAATCCCCACACAGCCGAAGTGACAGCTCCCCGGGCAACCCAAAACCCCCTAGCCACTTATTTCGACTCTAATCCCAGCTAATGCAATTATCTAGCTACATACGGTAAAAACCGAGAGGATAATATATAATGTAGCCTGGTAAGTAATATTATTCAAAAAGAATTCAACGCGACAAACTATTTAAATATTTAAATAAATATTATAATCTCTCTAAATCCCTGTTTATATTTCATTCATTTATATTTTACTAACTTTCAACGATTATTTTCATGAACAAGTAAAAGAGCGAAAACAAATTCTTTGCACAACAGTGGTATTTGAACTCAGGCCTATTTTTAAATTTTAAGAACTTTCGCGAAGAGAGAGTGTAAAACGCATATCTTTGTGATAGCATTTACTCATCATAAAGATATAAATAATAAAATATTTTATCTACATAGAAAGACTCACCCGTGGCTGTTCTGCTTGAGGTCGTTGGTCAGCTTCAGTTGGCTGAGCAGAGGCACTGGCTCCTGTCTGGGATTAGGATTTGAAGTTGGATTACTGCCCGTGGAGAGCGTAGACAAAGACATATTCCCGCTTGTGTAGAGAACGGCATTGGGTGCTGTGGTGGCCGCCGAATCGGAGACTTTGTTGGGACTCTTGGCCGCCGGCAGGATGACGGCGTGTGACGAGCACTTGTCCACCAGCGGGACACTAGAGGCCTGCAGCTCGTTCATGGCTCCTAGTTTGTGTATTGGGCTTCCTTTCTTTGTGATATCGTTTAGTTCTTGGCTTTGGCAATGGGCATATGGCTCCTAGTTAATTGAATACACTGAGGATTGGCATCTGCATTGGAAGTACATGAATAATGTAGGTGGTTTTTCCGCTCAGCTCTCAGTTCTCAGCTCTGCAACGAAAGGGAAATGGGAAAGCGAGATGCAAATCAAGCATAATTTAAATGGAGGTGTTGCCTCTATTGATTTGACAAGCTCACACATACAGAGTGAGTAGATGAGAGTGCATATATTACATCAGAGCCCAGGAAGTGCCACCCATCTAGATTCTAGAGGCCTCCAGCTTGGAGGTTGCCCCACAACATGAATTTCTAATTACTGAACAAAGCCCCGAGAGACCGAAAGACCCCCAGTCGCATTTACAGATACAAATACAGACCCAGTTGAGAAACGACGACACCCGATAAACGTTGAATTCAATGCCAGACACTCGAGGGCTCAGGGAATCGGCTTCATAAACAGCTGTTCTACAGCTTGGACAGCCAAGAACCAAGAATAAAGAACGAAGAACCATTGACCAGTGCACAAGTACTCAAATACTCATTCCCTTCAGAGAGACACTCACTAACAAAGTCCACTGCATCGGGAGTTGCGAACTGGGTTTGCCTGCACTGGGAACCCATTTTGCAGGTGGCCGTCTGATAAGATTTCTACGTTTACCGTTTAGCGATGAGAATTCCGACTTACTCATGCACTGCAAGGAAAATTCTTTCTGCTTTTAAATATTTACAATCATTCCTAAAGTTTTCATGGTTTCGTAAGACTCAATTCTACAAAACTTTAACGTAAACGGAAATATTTTTCCCACTTCTATAAATTATATAATTTTTTTATGTATGGAATGGGTTATTCAGATATCTTGTTTATTTACAAAGCAGGAAAATTTAAAAATCAATTTTAAAATAGAAAAACAAGATTAGTTAAAAGTTTACTTTAAGAGTTCCAAGTAAAATCAAATATGGGTTAATATAGTACATTGTAATCGGAAATAGTTTCCACACATCTATAAACTATTTCTATAAGCACGTAAACATTTTTAAAGGCTGTTTACTATTTATTATTTTAAATGATTCTACAGATCCTTTGTTTATTTTTAGAGCATGATCAGTGCGTGTAGTTTCTCCCAGTGCACACGAGTATTTATTAGAGATTTGTTTGCAGTTCGATTAGCGATTAGATGGGCAGACCGATAGGCTTCCTGCTACTGGTGGCGGGCTTCCTTTTCGCTAATCGCAATAGCCGAAGATGTAAGGCGCGTAATCGCATACCCCGTCTACCATATATAGGCTTCTAGTTATATGACGGCCAGCTGTTGTCGGCCATCGACTCGTTATCTTGAAAACTGTGGAACCGGCACTCGAAACTGGCCACGCACAGCTGCCGATTGGATTGGATTGTCTAATCTGGGAATCAATCGACGTCGGACGATGGGGAGTTTCGATTTTGGGGCTTCTCGGAATCGCACTTCGCACTTCTCTCTCGCCTTCTGTGGGTGGATGACCCGAGATGAGGTCCTACCCTAACCGCAATCAAAGTAGGTCAGTTTTGGAGCCAACCTCCCTTTTGGAACTCTGACCCCTTTCTACCGATTCCCCCATTCCCCATTTGTTTTCCTCTTTTTCGGGTGGCGCGACTTCAGGCTGCCAGATTTTAGATGTGTCATATGCTATTAACAAATAAAAGCGCGGGCATAAACATTTGAAAAACAACGGAGCACATTGCTAAATTTCCACCTTCTCGGGAGAGCGCAGGCGCTCTTCTGCAGATACAAAAGGCAGGAAAACATTAAAGATACATATGGGTCTACCTAAAGGAGGGGGGATGGAAGTCTGTGTAACTCCGGTTGGGAAGTTCTTTGGCTTGATGGAGTGGTGGTGGAACTGCAAGCCTCCGAACGACGCAATTACTTCACTCGCATAAAAATGAAAAGGTTTTATTTCACTCACCTTTGGATTTCTATCAAGATGAGACTGTTTTCCGAGAAGAGCAAAACACAAATGGCATAAAACGTGTTTTTGGTTTATTAGCATTATATATTTCTTTTTTGGCCGCTGCCCGAAGAGACGGTTCTTCCCCAGCACATTTAGATACTTTATACTCTTTGCTACTTTGTAGATACTCAGATACTCGCACTCGTGCCTTCTTGGCTATTTATTTTATATATTTTTTTTTTGTTATGGTTGAGGCAGCCAGCAAACAAACAAACAACGCCAGCTATTCAAATGCGCGAGAGAGAACCGAAACACCAGATGGTATATGGGTATACGGTATGCGAAGCACTCCAGGAATACGCAAAAGTGTATCTTGTTCCGGGGCCCGAAACGTGTTTTATTCAGCGCGATCCGATCTGTTTCGATTGAAGTACTCGATTCCTGCCCAAAAATCCCGCTCGATCGCAGGAGGCAACAACAGTCAGGCAGCGCGAACGACGAAGAACTGAGCAGAAACTGAATTGGATTCGGAATCGGAATCAGAAACAGACACAGAAACAGCCACTGAAAACTGAAAACTGAGACTGCGGCGGCTGCTAAGCTACCAGCTGCCAGCTGAGAGCGCTTTCGCTCCTGGTACTCTGCTCTTCTCGTATTAAATGGTATTTGGTATTCGGGTACCTGTATCTGTGTGAGCCACGGCAGACACTCGGATACCAGCAGAGTTTGGTACCCACATAGATATGGACCAAGGTAAACAATAGAGAAGACCCGTCTATGTTACTTATAGGTACAGGTTTTGATAGACCTATAGACCGAGAATATGAAAACATTCAAAAATTCATCATGTATCACATCATATTTTTAATATTTTTTATGAATAAAAAAAGAACATTTTTTTTTATAAATTACAAATAATTATGAAGAGAGGTTTAGATATTATATCTCTAATTAAACCTTTTTTTTACGCAATCAGTTAATATACAAAATATTTAATATTCATTACATTTATGTTAAAATAAAAAAATTATTAAAATAAAGAATATGTAAATAAATAAAACATCTTTTGTCAGGGGTGCGATGCGAAATCCGGATCTTACACAGGAACTCTTTTTTTATTTTATTTGTTATTATGAGGCGTAATCCGGAGTATATAATAAATGATTAAATCTCATTCTGTAAATATTCAAAAAATTAATTTAACTGCGGTGAAGCCTCTCTTTTCATTTAAGATCTACTTAGGTACTTTTTGTTGGTAGGTACAGAGTACCTTTCCCATCACTCGTCTCTACTATTTGGGTTTCGTCAATGGGGAAGTCGTGGCTCTCTCGCTTTGTCCGACGTTCAATTCAAACGCTGGCATACACTTAAATTAACCGAGAGTGTGCGGATGTGTGGGTGAGCGGTAGTGCGCATGGCGCATAAGTGTGCGTGGGGGTTCCCCCACCGGGAAAGTGAGAAGGTGGTTCTTTGTGTGCTGAAAATCCTGTTCCTTTTAGCAGAAAGTGTTGGAAATCCTGTTTCTTTCAGCAGGCGACGGTGTGGGGAAAATGTAAATTCCCTAGGAAAACCACATAGAATCCTCATTTCCCCCTTACTTTTTGTGTCACCCCCGTGTATTTTGAAACCAGAGACGGAAGAAATGTAAGGGGTAAATGAGGTTTTGTCCCTTCCGCTTGTATGGAGAAACCTCTTGAAAATATGTTATTTTCCAGAGGAATGTTCCCGCTGGGCCGCTGCTCTGAAAACAGCTGACTGTAAACACACACAAAGAGCGGGGGCCCAGTGGGAAATCCAGTGCGATTTGGGTTCAGCTGCACTTGGATTTGATGGAGCGAAACTCCCCAGAGAAGCAGAGAGATAGAAAGAGAGAGAGCGGGCGGGAGTACACGGCGAGAAAGCGGGAGTTTTGTAATTAAATTGGACAGTTTCGGTTTTTATAGGGGGTAAAATTAAAATTACCTGAGGCCAGAGGGCAGTACTTGCATATTTCAGACTCTAGATAAGCTTATATTAGCTCAGATGTATTATTCATATGAATTTAACACAAAATAATACTAATCTACTAACATTTATAAGTCCATCTATGTCTTTTTATAATTAAATCTTTCAACAAATTCTGTAGGGTAAATATTAATAACGTTTGTTCTGAAGAATTCGCGGTCTCATTTTGTTGAAGAACCCATATTTGGTTTTAAATGGTTAGATCTAATGATCTTATGATCCACTTTGGTTTCTCCTTTTCTGATTAATTTTGCGGTTGATTTGGTTCACAAAATACATGATATAGGACCTATAGTATATATCAGTGGTAATTCCACATTATTTCTTGCTCTGTAATGAGTGGATATCCCTGAAGAGAAACAATGCTTTTTTCGCCACTCACTTGCATTATTAGTCTGACTGATAGCGAACTTTGAACCTCACGATCGCTGAACAAAGCGCTGGAACCAAACAAAAACAATTGCGATTTCTTCGTAGAATTGGTTGGAGAGGGAGGGGTAGGGGTTGAATGGAGGGAGGGAGCTGATATCAGCATGAGTAATCCTCCCCTGACTTCTCCCCTTATTGACTGTATATCCTAAGACAAAGCCAAAACGTGATTTGCCGATTCTACGCTTATTTGTAACTCTCGGTGTAAAATGCGCAGTCGGGGGACTTCTAATCGCCGCGACCTTAATAATAGTTTATTTCCATATCAGCCGCACATTGTTTTTAGCTACTATTTTAAATTGTGTGTGAGCCTTGACCGCAGCTATGTAATAATAATCATAATAATTTGTGGAACTGTGCGCAAAATTCAACTCGAGCTAAATGGAAGTGCCAATGGACGATAGCCAGACTCGATTTCAGTTCGGTTTCGGTTTCAATTGGGAATGTAAATGGCAATGGAATGGGAATGCCCCATTAGGCTGGAGTGTCATCGAATGTGTTATCAGTTTGCCATTGGAATTGGAATTGCCTTTCATTTCGCTTCAGGTGCAGCTGCACTCTTCCTTAATGCGAATCTGCCAGGTACATTTGGCCATCAATCCAAGTTGGGTGCTAATCGTAGTGCATTCAAAGTGCTTTCAGGTGTTTTTTTGTACGGACTTAAAGTCTGGAAATGCATTAACTGTCCGGAAACGTAATGGTTAATTGCTTCTTAATGAACGCAACGACAGTGGGTGGAATACGAACAAACTAGACTAAGTTCTCTGGGGCTGTTGAAGAATCTTTTAGAACTCAGGAACCACTTGATGAGCAACATTCAAATCCAGCCAGCCGTAACGGAAAAAGCTCACCCACTCGAAAGCAACCTCGAAATAAGCTTGGAAACCGACAGAGACGACTATATCTAGAGGTCGAAAAAGCTTCGTTCGAAAAGTGATGCCCATAAGGCGGTTTATTTAAATTAAAATGGTATACGGCTAAGACAAAATTCTATTAAATATTTTCATAAAAATAAGTAGGTTTAATTTCATTAAACTAAATAACTAGTAGGTAACATGTGTTGAGATCGAACTGGATATCTTTCAAAAATTCTATATTATAGGTTGCTTACTAAAATCTACAAAAATCGAAGAAACAAAGAATATAATTGCAAGACTTTAAAAAACAAAGAACAGCATCTAAAAGTATAACATTATAAAAATCTTGATAAAATGTTTACACCCCTTCGATAACAATAACTGGGTAGAAAGTTAAGAATTGTTTAACAAATATGCAACCAGTGTTGGAAAAGGTACTGTGTTTTTTTACCTAGGTAAGGTAAAAGGTATTGTCAAAAATAAATACCTAGGTAAGGTAAAGGTACTTAAATTTCCCAGTACCTAGGTAAAGGTAAAAGGTATTTATAAGGTATTTTTTATTTTTTATAATTTTTTTGTTTTGTTCAATGTAATCATTTAAACTTAAAATAAGACTAGTTTTCAGTTTTTAGTCGTCTTAATCAAACAATATCTTTTCATTTCATTTAAATTTAAATGTTTTAATTTTGTGCATATATTTTTAAACTACGCGGCATGAATAATTTTATGCACGTATCACTTCATTAATGTATTTATGAAACCCTCATGTACATATTTGGCGCGCAAAAATTCCGTATGTAGAAACATTGACTATATATTGTGCATATGCATGTATATGCCGTTTGTTTACGTACATACGGCATTTTTGCGCTCCAAATACACTTTGGTTTCATAAATAAATTGATGTAGTGATGGGAACATACATACGTGCACAAAATTATATAAAAAAAACTGCGATTAGTTTTAACTTCACAAAACAAACAATAGAACGGCTGAATTATTAATGCTGCGTTCCGACTATTACAATTCTGAAACGAAACGATACAATGAAACGAAACTACAGTGTCGCAGTCAGATTTGGCTATTTTAAATCAGAGCAATGTTTAATACCTATGTAAGTACCTTAATAATTCCAAAGGTATATAAAAATAAATACCTAGGTAAGGTAAAAGGTACTCAATTATTTGTATACCTAGGTTAGGTAAAAGGTACCACTAAATTGTACCTAGGTACGTACCTAGGTAAAAGTATCTAGGTATGTCCCAACACTGTATGCAACCCAAAAAGTAGACCAAAAAATACCACATTTTAAATATAAAAGAACTCCAAATAATTATTTCTTTTTGATTTTATTGATTTCTCGAATTCGGTTAGTTTAGCGTTACAATTAGTAGAGTTTATGGTACAGATAGCAGCTAGACGTATATTAAAAGTCAGTTTCCCACGGACTGGTGCTTTCTTTCTTCCTCTCTATCTTCACTTTCGAAGTTCCCTCCCTCTCCTCCATTTTCACTGGCCAACTGGGTTGCTGTCAAATCGCCAGCGGATCTGGAGCAATCCTCAGGTGGACTGACGTATCTTGATGCTGTCCCGATCCCGTTGATCCTGCTCGTCGCTGTCGCAGTCACCGCTCTCCGCGGTGTCCTCGTCCTCGCCAGCGGAGCTATCCTTGGCGAACAGATGCCGCAGGCAGCTCCGCTTCACGTATAAAAAAGCGCACAGGGCGCAGAGCAGGAAGATGACACCCACGGAACTTCCGATGATCAAAGCACGAACTTTTCGCTGGGAGGGCACATCGATGAGGAGTTCGTGACTGGGCACCGATTGCTGGGTATTCGTGCCCACTGCCAGGACTTGCACCTTAAATAAGGTGTCCTCTTTCAGATGCCTCAGCTGGTAGTAGTTGTCGAAGGTCTCCGCATGGCCGATGAGGAAGTGCTCCGGCTCCTTCCACCAGCGAACGGCGTACAGGCGCAGACCCTCCAATCCCTGCACAGGATGCTCCCAGTGGAGGAGCCAGCCCTGCTGGTTGCTAATGGCAGTGAGGTTCCAGGGCGCCCCCAGTCCCCCCGCGGGGGCAGTGACCAGACCCAGGTCATGCTGCAACTGCTGGGCATCCACATCCGCCGTTGGAATGGGCGAGGCTGCATAGGATCAATTATACTTATTATCAGATATCTTTAGGGGTTAACTATATATTCTTACGCTGCGTTTTGAAGCGGAACTGCTTGCTGAACATCCCATCGCCGTACTTGTCCTGGCTGAGCACCATGAATTCGTACTCCTTGCCCGGCTGCAGGTGCTGCACCGTGGCCTCCATCATCTTCTTGTCCTGCACCTTGAGGGTCCGCCACTCGGGGGCCTCCATGAGTCGAAACCAGACGGTGTACTCCAAGTGGGGGCGAAGGTAGCCTAAGGAAGATATTAGCGCAAAAGATAAGATCAATATTAATTTGATATTATAATGTATTCCAATGATAATCCACCACAACCAATTGGAACCACATTTGTTAGTTTTAAACGAAATGGGAACGCGAATTCTTCAGGACAAGAATAACATATATTTATTAAGATCAATTTTATATTATATATTTTACAATATCAATTTGATATTATAATGTAATCTTAATTTTAAACTCGTTTTTATCAAAGATAATGAACCACAAATTCTTCAGTAAAACAAGAACCAACCACACATTTAAAATCATTCATGAATTCTTCAGCAAAATGAGAACGCGAATTATTCAGGTCACAAAGGATTCGTGATAGTTTCCTTAGTTAGTAGACAACAAATATTAATTAATATCCACTAGATATTTGTTATTCGAGCAGATAAATTGCGCCGCCTGCTCTCTGCCATGGTTTTATAAAATTTCCTTGGATATAAGGTTTTGAGATACTATAAATCGTCGGAGCAGAGGTTGAACATTAAACTTGTGCTTTATGCACACCTCTGATCTTTTAACGAAACGCCTGCATACTCCATTTCGAATTCAGCTCGGAGCACCAGAAGCACCTGGCCCTCCTGGTCCCCCTCCCCCTCTTCCACACACCCAATTACACCCATTTTCTCACCTGGCTGCCAGCGTATGGTGATGCAGGTCTCCGTGCTGTTGGCCGTGAGATTGTACGGCGCCCGCGGTGCGATGTTCTCAATCATCAGCTCGGCCTCCGCCGTAATGGTGGCCGCCTCGTTGGTGGCCGAGCACTCGTATATTCCGCGGTCCCCTTCCACGAGGCCCGTGAGGGTCAGGTTGCCGCCGCTGAGACTGAACCTGTCCGCCGGCAGTGGCGTCCCGTCCTTCTGCAAATTAGTAGGGTGCGGAACGAGAGTCAGGGAAGCGGAGCCAAAATCACAGTTGCACAGGAAGAAAATGGAGTGGAATTGATGAATATTTGGATTTTATTGCTTAAACCAATAGGTAATTTCTATGCTATTATTTGATGGTTAAACTAATATCATTATAAGAATAATTATTATTTTAATACAATTATAATTTATCTGATATACGTAGATGTAAATAAGCCTTCTCATTTTAATATTAATTACTTATCAAAAAGATACGAGTAAACTATGAAACTGGCATTTATCGAATCCCAATAAAACTCCCTTTTCTCACTGTGCATGGGCAGGTGGAACTGGCAGTATGCATAATTAAAAATGCAATCAAGTGAAACTGTATGCGCTCCCCTTTTGGCATTACCACTCTGCAGCTGCCTTTTGCCATTTTCGGGGCAGTGCCAAATGACAATGACCATACGGACAGTACAGACAGCCACGGACAGATACGGACAATCTGGACAATATGGACTCACCCTGCTCCAGACAATGGAAGGCCGATTGTTTCCGTCCCGGTCGATGGCTTCGCAGGGCAGCTCGGCCGCCTCGCCCAGCTTCTGGATGTAGATGGCCTTGGGCGTGACGCTGAAGATGGGCGGACGGAGCACAATCACGCTGATGACCGGCGATGGTCCGTCCGTGCCGAGGTCGTTGTAGGGCGTGCATGTGTAGCTGCCGGCGTGGTTCTCGTCCACCTTGGCGAAGAACAGGCTGCCGTTCATCTTGTAGAATACCCCGGGCACATTGTACGAGTCGAAGAGCAGGCCGTCCTTCTCCCAGCGCAGGTTCTTCAGCGGCGGATTTGCCCGGAAGTGGCAGTCGAGCACGGCGGGCTGGCCGTACGGCAGGTAAACCTCCGGCGGGGCGTAAATCACCTTGGCCTTATCTGAATATAATAATTTTAAATTTATTAAATTATTCGAAATATACACTTTCATCAATAAATTAATAATTTGTTTACGACACTTACAATTTTTTTACAAATCTATGAAAGATTTAATTTATTTCAAGATTGCGATTGAAATTACCTGTAAAGGCTGCGAAGAAGTATGGATCTATATTTAACTAATCTAAATATTGATTTTTTTTTAGTGCATACTCATACTTTATCTAAATAAATTCTGGGTATTCACCCTAAAAATCTTAATCGTTTTAATCACTAGCATATCTTAAAAATCGTAATCGTCATGAGTTCCGCAATATCTTATAATAGTGTCTAAAAGTATGCAACAGTATTCAACAATATTATTCATTACACCTATTATAAAAGATTTCAAATGTTTATAGCTCAAATATGCTATAAATTTGTATTTTTTGAAAACAGTCCCCAAAATTATAATACCAACTCACATTGTATGTTGAGAAAGGCCTTGGCCGTCTGCAGTTCGCCCTCGCTGTTGCGCACCTTGCACTCGTACTCGCCCAGATCGCTCATCATGGTGGGATCGATGCTCAGACTGCCGTCGGGACCCATGTAGGATCTCCTCACCAGATCCTGGACCTCCTGCAGCAGCACTCCGTCCTTGTACCAGGAGGCCTGCGAGTTATCCGGATACTTCATGACGCAGTGGAAGAACGCGGTCTGTCCCTCCTGGATGGTCTGATTCACGGGCGGAATGCGGATGAGGGAGCCACCCTGAACGGCCAGATGGTAGGCGGTCCCGTTGTTCCGAACCGAGGGCGAGCGATTGGGGAAGCTTACTTGGCAGTGGTACCAGCCCTGGTCCGATTCCCGGATGGCAGTCAGGTTGACGGAGGCCCTTCCAAACTCCGGATGGTTCTCCACCAGGTGCAGTCGTCCATTGAAGAGCTCATTGGTGGAGGTCTCTTGCTCATACCAGGTGAAGATTTTCTTGCTCTGCGGGGGAGCAGTTATAAGATATAAGAAATTAAAGAAGCAAATACATTTAGATTACAATAAAAGAGGCCTTTTTTAATCGGGAAGTTGAACCGCATTCCAAAGCGGTTCGATATAAAATGTTAAACTTAAACCCGAAATTCAGAAATAAATAAAAAGAGCAAACTAAGATTGAATTTAAAGAATATTCGTTTTTGGCTTTAAATTTCTCAGTCAGGAAGAATATATTCAAGTGCATATTTGTTGTAAATGCCAGCTGAACCATGAAATGACAATGAGAATTGCAACTCTTGAGTACGAAATACCTAGATACAAATTTTGCCTGCATGGTTATGATTTGGCTCCGCCATCTCGACTGCAATTGCAGTTATAAATCATGAGCAATGCGGAATCTATATAGAGAACACGCCCACACACACTGTTACAGTTTATGTCAGACGTGTGTGAGAGTGTGTGTGCGATTGTTTATGCCCCCCGATTTCTCCCCATGCGCCATTATAATTTTCGCAAACTCCCGCTGAGCCCGAACAACAGTCCCCCCTTTTTGAGGGTCCCCCCTTTGGCTGTTTGGCTGCCCCGACCATGATTGTGACGTAGCGCAGCGGTGGCCAACGGTTTTCAAAGGCCCCCCAAAAACCCCACAAGAATATAACAATAACCAGGGAGCGGAGAATTAAGGGGGGGATGGGGGGTGTGGAACCCACGCCGCTACTTTGTTGACAAATTTAACTGGGCTCACGTGGCGCGGCGCACTTGAAGTGCTCAATGCTAGACCGCCCCTGAAATGGGATTTGATTTTAATTCAGTTCGGTGTGTGTACTATTCAAGACCAAAAAGATATTCCAATTTATAAAACTATGTATCTACTAGAAGGGTAATCTTATGTTAACATTTTTCAACTGAAAAACAAGAGAGAACGCTATAGTCGGGTGCCCCGACTATCAGATACCCGTTACTCAGCTAAAGGGAGTGCGAAGGAGTTGGGGATAAAAACTTTGATCCGCCGTAACTTTTTAACGAATGGTCCGATTTAAAAAATTTCTTCAACATTTCGATAGGTATTCATAAACACAATAAAACTGCATTTTTACTTTTCCGAAATATTGAAATTTTTAAAATCGTATATAAGCGATTGTGGGCGTTAGAGGGGGCGTGGCACCCTTTTAAAACAAACTTGCGCTGCGTAGGAACTCCTAGAATCTGCATGCAAAATGTCAATCTTCTAGCTTTTATAGTTTCCGAGATCTCAGCGTTCATACAGACAGACAGACGGACAGACAGACGGACAGACGGACAGACGGACAGACGGACAGACGGACAGACGGACAGACGGACATGGCTAGATCGACTCGGCTAGTGATCCTGATCAAGAATATATATAGTTTATAGGGTCGGAAACGCTTCCTTCTACCTGTTACATACTTTTGCACGAATCTAATATACCCTTTTACTCTACGAGTAACGGGTATAATCATTCCAATAATATCATTTATTGCCCTATCGAGATGATTACTTTAGCCATTTTGATAAGTGACTTAAAAGAGATTCCATTTATAAAACTAAGATGCGTAACGTTCGAGTTTCTATATTAACATTTGTGAAATAATGATATAATTAAAATTTTAGCCTTTCAAGACAACAGAGTTTCCAATTTACTTAATAGTTTCCAAGTTTTTACATATAAAGTTTTACATATAATATCATTTAATACCCTTTGGATACGCTTACTCTAGCCATATTGATAAGTGACTTAAATAATAAGGTTGATGGCGAAATAATGATTCAATTTATTATTTTGACAACGTACCATTCTGGATTTGTAATGTTATTGTGACAGCCATTAAAAGCATTAAACTGTCCAGTTTGATAAGTGGGCTTAGTGAAAAATTAAAACAAAAATGTATTTGCCATGAATTACTTTTATGCCCTAAAATGCCTTTTTTGTGTTGGATCCACTAATCAACTTTCCGTAAAAAATAGTATTGCTTTTGGCTCTCAAAGGCTAAATCAACAGCTAATAAAAAAATATTTTATAAAAAGATCTAATCTGGGCAATAGATTATCGGTTTATAGGCGCATAATAATTCAATTCGAAAGCTCTTTTTTGCTTCTTTGCCGTTTTTTGCGGTTCCTCGCCTGGCGGCATATTAAATTATTTTTGTTTTAATTAATGCTGAAAATATTTGTCAATATTTATTAAATATATGGCCTGGCAATTATACATGTGCATAGGCAAGGCAGAAAAAACCTAAAAAATAATAATGGAATGCGAGTAAACAGAATGTGTTTGCGTTGCATCATATGGCAAAATGTAAAAAAAGGCTGCGTTAGGCTTAAATTATTTAAATGCAATTGAATCGGCTGCGGTCGCTGGCCGCTGTTCTAATTGCTCCGGCACACAACGCACACATATTTTTATGCTCGCTTTGTTTGCGCACTTGACTTTCCTCTATACGATATATAGAAGGCCGTACCATCTACAGTGTAAACTATTTTATTCGCCGGGTTAGGACAGTCACACCCCATAAACCGCATGCTAGGGATTCTGTTTTCCCGGTTATTGATAGCCTCCGACCGCAGAAAAAACGCAGCTGTGCCATGGGATATGGTTTAATTGTGTGCTCTGTTTCTACATCGGATGCTGCTTTGAGTGGGTGTCAGTTGATCTATTGACATTAGGTTTGTGCTTTAATTGAGATCGGGAAAGATGCAGCGTCTGTCCGGCATCAATGTCACCCACATCATCTGGGATCTAGCTTCTAGCATCACCTCACTCGCATTTTGTAGAACCTTTCAGCAAAACCGCCTTGAGTAGATTATGGTGCACTCAAGATCCGCTTGTTCTAGACCCATAACTATGATTATGTACACCCAACACCCAACTGTGTGTGTCAAGTGTCGTCTGCCCAGCGGGAATGTGAGAAGTTGGTTTTTGTGTTCTTGAAATCCTGTTCCTTTTTGCAGGCGGCGGTGTAGGGATAGATAATTTCTGAGCGCTAAATGAGGGTGGGTTTCTGAGTAGCATCAATATCAGGCCATTTATGCGCTGTGTGATTTCTGTGGCACTACGATTATAATATTTTTAAACAAGAAAATCACCAACTTATAATATTCAAAAATCCTATGATGTACACCAAAACCAAAAGACTTGTTCTCACATTTAGTTTTAATTTTTAGTAATTTTAAAAGTCGTAGAAAAAATATTAATAATTGTTAATCAAAAAAATTAAACTATATAACATTATTATCATAATGTCTATAATGATAATATTAATTTATTTTACTCAACATTTTTCAAATAATAATAAGGATGAATGTGGGATTCAACCAAATTATAGAGAAAAGCCACGGTAAGACGATTAAAATATTTGATCACATTTATCAAGGAATTACATTAAATTACAAAGAAAACTATTGTTGCTTTTTACATTTTTAAACATTTTCTGTGAAATAAAATAATTTGATCGTCAGATCGTGGCCTAAGCCATTTTTAAGTATTGTTAAAATATAAAAATTCGTGTTGGTGGTATTGATAACACGAAAAATGCCTAACATACCAATAATATACGTAACCTTTAATGATTACGGTCCCTGAAAAGTATTTTTTAAACGAAATACTTATTTGGCGCCAAAGTGTGACCGGACTTTACAACGAAATTTATATCAAATCTGCATTTAGTATTATCAAGTATATGATGCAGGGTCACATCATTTTTAAATTTGTTGGAAAAAGTGAAAAAAAAGTGAAAATAGTTAATTTTAATCTAAAAAACAATAAAAAGGTGAGTGATAAAATGAATTTTGTCTTTTTATAACCTTTATTTCAGCGTTACAAAGGTTAGTATCACAGATATTTTCGCCATTAATAAATATACGCCTCCGGATGCTATCTTCAACACAAATTCTGCATTTCAGTGACACTTGAAATGTTTTTAATCTTTACCAGTGGTAAATGGTGTGAGGTGTTCATTAAATGGTTGTATAAATAGTACTTCAGTACTAACTTAGTTGTTTAACTTAATCAAAATATTACATTTATTTCAGCCAGGCCGACTGAGACTTCTTGGGACCAGAAGTGTTGCGCCTGCGTTTGTCATATTTTATTTTTTCTTCTCATAGTTTTTGATATAGATACCCGACATAAAACAACTGAACAGAGGGTAAATGATCGGCCATGGCAAACCAGGCATAATTTCTGGAGAGATCCTTTAATTTTGTGCGGAGACCTAATAATGGTAATTACTCTTATTATTATTCCTGGTCTTACATTCATATCTAAATTATGTTTGATATTTTCAGAAGACAGACAAGAAATGGATATCTAAGTACTGCATTCGGCCAAGCAAAACCCGGGAATGCTTCATGCATTAAAAATTTGTAGTTCCAATGCTTCGATAATAAATACACAAACAAATATTACAAAAAAACATGATTTTTATTGTGGAAAATCAGATACTGCAAAGCAGTGCAAAACCAAAACTGCGAGGGTCTGGAAAAACCAAAACTGGGAGGGTGTAGAAAAACAGATATTGCAAGTGGAGGAAAACCATAACTGGGTACGTGTGGAAAATCTATAATGCGGGAAGTCGAAAAACCAGTGGATTTTGTCCTGCATTCTTCTGCCAGAGATCCAGATAGAAACCTCATTTCCCCCTTACTTTTTGTGTCACCCCCGTGTATTTTGAAACCAGAGATGGAAGAAATGTAAGGGGTGAATGAGGTTTAGTCCCTTCCGCTTCTATGGAGAAACCTCTTGAAAATATGTTATTTTCCAGAGGAATTTTCCCGGTGGGTGCCGCCGCCGCTCACACACATTTATCAGCATTATCTAACAAATTACAAACGTAACTTGATTTATCCGGTAATTTGGCCGTTCGTTTGCGGCGCGAAAATTTGCAACCCAGCCTCGCGATGGCCGTGAAAGTCGGGTCTACAGAATATGTGGGATATATAGAATAAATTTGCAGACAGACATTGAAAAATATATCAGGAATGCCGTAAATCAGGTGGATTATGTGCGGACTCCAAATCCCGCGTACGAATTTGTTTAATTAGAGCGGAGAAAAGCGCAATTAAAGTGTATCTATCAAAATGACATCATGACCCGCTGACCGAGTGAAACAAAAAGCATAAAAACAATGGGGAAAAAAGGGGAGTGACCAGCGAGAGAAAAAGCAAATTAAGCAAGCGGCTAAATAGTTGAAAAACATAAGCGGGACAGACCCTCGATTACCGATGGGAATGCATGGGGTAGGGGGGTATGTAAGGGGTCCAGTAAGCGGACAACTGATGACCGCTGATGACGGGCGTGTGCGTTGAATAGTAATTCACTCGATTTAAATACCAACGCACGCCGAGCTTTATTCCTCTGTCTCTCTGGGAAATCGCGGGGATTGCAATGAATTTGCAATTGAATTAAATTGCATTACTCACAGTTGTCAACAAAATGCCAGCCATTCAATTCGATTGAATCCAATTGAAATTGATTTCAACTGGTTCACTTACCCCGCCGAAGTCTTTGATGTCACACTTTTCACACTGACACTCTGCTCTTTTTTTGTTTTTCCCTTCTGATGTGTTGGTAATTTAAAGTGTTTTTCCTATACTGAAATCACTTCTCGGCGCGTCAAATTAAATTTAATTTTAAATGGCAAATGGCAGGGCGGAAGCGGAAAGAAGGAGGCCAGGAATCTGACCCAGCAGCCAGGATGCGACCCGATCGACTGCATGTGGTTGCGCTTTAATTAGTAGCCAAGGGCGGGGATCCACCAACAACCAACCCACCGAACCACCAACACAACCACCGAGGTGGGTAGGGAAAAGGGGAGCCACCCCACTGGCACGGCGATTGCATTTTCTGCGATGCAATGGCCGACTGCACTTGTCAAAAAATATAAACAACAATTTAGAAAAAATTACAATTCGAGGGTAGGGTTCATATACATTTTTTTTAAATCCTGTTTAAAGGATCTATAAAATTTAAACTCAATATTGTCTGAAATAAATTAGCTACTTTTTAGAAGTCAAACACTTTATTTAGAGTCATCAAAGCTGTAAGAAACTGTTTTATATTTTTTGCTACTAAAAAATGTGTTTAAGACTTTAAGGAATATCCTTAGATTTCATAATAAATATAATATTTGTATTTGTTTATCATCCTAAATAAATGACTTAATATTCTAAACAAAAACAAAAAAAAAATAGTTTTTAAATATCCACAACATTTTTTCTAAGCATTGAGGTTTTTTATTAACCAAGTCTAATCAAAAGTAAATCCTGAAAGATATTCCTAATAAATGGAAAAATATAATTATAACCACAAAATTCGAATTTTTGTGATCACCAACAACTATCTTGTTGTTGTGCTAAATATTTTTTGGCTACCGTGATTCTTTCAGTGCGGTCGTAAAGTGCGACCCTTTTAATGAATGTGGGAGCCGCGTTCCACGCTGCACCAACATCCAACATCCAACGTCCAGCAGACGCAATTAAGGCTAACCAAGCATTCCGGACTGGCCCTGGTCAGTCAGTCAGTCGGTTGGCGGAGTAAGGGGCGTTCGGAGTCCCGGGGTTCCGGGCCACCTACGTGTCTGATAAATTAATAATTTCGACAATTTCATTTAAGAACTGCGTGCGCGTCGGCGTGAGCCATAAATAAGTGAGTGGGCCAGGCACAGATAAAAAAAAACCACTCGATATTTACATTTTTCACATTGCTTTGTTGGGTAAATAAATCTATTAAAGTAATAAAGGATGCTGAGCAAATCTTAGTTACAAAAAATTTATGAAAACAATAATTCACAGCACATAAAAAAAAATTATATTTCGAATTTTAGCTATATATTTCCCATTTCTTTCCACTGCATCCACACTTACATCCTTGCTCCAGTGCACCAAGTACGGGATGGGGGCGTCGAAGGGAAAGTCGATGTAGCAGTTGAAGACCACGTGGGAGCCCACTTTGGCCTCCAGGTTGGTCTGTCGCCTGTGATCGCGGGCACCGCTGGCACAGGATATGCTGATTATTAGGAAGAGAAGAGCCAGCAGGAATGTTCTGCTGCGTTTCGCTGGCATTTCGATGGATATATTATATATGTGATATATTTTCTTGCTTATTATTATTTTTGAGGACTGGCTCTGAACACTTGCACTCGGTCACTCACGCGCGGTGTCTTGCATAATGTTTCCGCGTCGCCAGAATGCGCAAAATCAAATTAAAAACCCCCAACCTGAAATCAGGTCAATTGGACTATCTGAGCTCAAAGCAAAATAAAGCGGAGCTCTCTCGCGGATTTCGGATTTTCTAAGGCGCACGAAACCCGATCCGTTGTGTACTATATCTTTGTGCGCAGTTCCGTTCCAGGTATAGTATAGTATGGTATATTATGGTATAGTATTGAATTTGAGGGTCGCGAACTGAACCGAGCGACTGGAGAAGCGCTACTGAAAGCCGAGACCGAATCGAGATCAGACTGCAGAACGAGTGACAGATGAGGCTGGGCTTTTGTGCCGAGGTATGCTACACAGAGAGAATAATTTATATGCTGAATCAGCATTTATGATCTATTTGATGATTTGGTCTAGGCATTTTATTATATTACTTAGAAACAAGAATTGCTAGTTTCAATATGTTCAAAATAAAAAAAAAATTGTTTTTAGGACAGTGGTCGGATTTGAAACTAGTTTTAATATGTGATCAAAATAACATGAAAGACAATAATAATTTAATAAAATTAGTAAGTTTTATTTTGAAACAACTTTTTTTCTAAGCGAAGGATTTGAACCCAGTTTTTCTGTAATATTTTGTAGGATACAAAAATTGTACATTTTTTTCAGTGCAGTAGAATAAAGAGCCGACCAACCCCGATCCCAGCCGATCATCACTTCTATGCTGCAGAGCAGAGCAGCGATCTTCTCTTTTCTCTCGCCCGTCAAACGTTTGACTGCATTTGACATTTGACACACGCCCACGCCATCTGCTTTGATGATGATGATGATGAGGTCTCCTTTGTCTGGCGAGCGTCTCCCCCACAATTCGCTTTCGCAGACGTTTATCCACTTAAATAATTAGGCGATCGCCAAAGTGTTGCCGATAGCATTTGGCCCCAAGATTGAACTATCCCAGCAGCATTAAACCATTATCGCTATAGATTCCCATTTATGGGAATAAAGAACTGTGTCAATCGTTCCTTCCAAGTCGGATATATCCAGTGTGCATCCGTGAGCTATTTATACGGTTTATACATTTTTAGTGAATTTCATTACTTTAATTGCCGCCGAATGCCAGCCAGTCGTCTTCAGGTTGGCCACGGTGGCGTATGAGTGATATTTTCGTTTGTGGAAGCAAAGGGGCATCAATTAAGCCAAGCTTCCGGGAAATTTTAGATAATGAAAACACAGGTTTACGGTTTTATTTGATCAATCTCAAGTTTTGTATTTTTATTTGTTTTTTGTTTGGTTTTTTTGTTTGTTTGTTTTTGTTTTTTTTTTGCTTTGTTTTGTAAGTTTTATTTGTTTAAAAATTTTGTTCATTTGCTAATTTCTCTTTATAATTGTGTGTCTGTATTAATTACAATATATTTCGTTCTAAACTGATTTATCCTTGTACGATTTATATATGCTGAATTGGAATTGCAGTGGGGAAAGTGGAAGTGGAAAGTCCGGAAAATGGAAAGTGAAAAGTGTATGTTGGCGGGCAGGGAGAAGTGAGGCGAAAGTCGGTAAGTTAATGTGTGTTTTTCTGGGAAATGTGGGCGAAATGGTCGTCGAAGTGAAGGAAGGAGGTGCAAAAGAATATAGATTTCCCTTTCTTATATTTCATATTTTGTTTTTTCTTATTTGTTTTTCTTTTGATAGTTCCTATTTTTGTTCATTTCATTTGAGTCGAGTCGAGTTGAGTCGAAAAGTTAACTGGCGCACCTTGTCCAAAAATCAAAGTGGCAGACTAAAGCGTTAGATTTACTTAACTTAGTTTTAATGTATTCCTCTTACTTAATGTACATGCCGTGTGTAATCCAGTAGCCATATACGTCATGTACATAATACACGTAATCGTATAAATAATCATATATGTATCTATTTTGCCTTAAAGTCCTGCGCCTTGCCTTGGCTCAATTAAAATTCAATTTATGCTGTCATTTTGCAATTATTCGCTTGCGCTTTTCTCACTTCGTTCTCGCCTTCCGTTAATGCTCAGTTAATTAATTAATTTATTTCGTTCTAGTTAAACGCTTAATGTGTGTGTCAGAGTGTGGGTGTCCTAGGCATTACAAAAATCAACTTATTCACTTGAATACCCTCAACATTTACAAAATACATGCAACACAACTCGAGTTTTCCTCCCATCTCAGAACTTTTGTTTATCCTAGTTTATCTCACTTTAAATACGATTTTCTCTGTGGCCTAAGAATGCAGCAAGCGCGGATCTATAAGACCTACTTTATAGGATAGATCTTAAAGATCCCGCTTGAATAACTTGAAGAACTGACAGACGGACAGACGGGCTCATATTTTTTTAGGGGAAAAATCAAGTGCGGGGGTCGAAGGCTAAAAGAAATGCTTGAGATCATTAGTCGGTTGATTCGTAGTTGATTTCTTGATTTGTTTCGCGCTCCAACCGTCCCCTGAATAGTGTTATCGTTATCGTTATTATCGGTATCTCGTTTATCGTATTATATTCTGTATATGCTCTGTAATTTACACAAGTTATACATACACACTCGCGGTCTTCTATCGCACCTCTCGCTCTGGCAGTGTTTTGGCGTCAAGTTGTGTCAAACCATCTCATTCCGTACAATTTGATCGTTTATCGTTAATTGTTAATCGTTAATCAATTATCGTTTATCGTTAACAAGTACTTAAAAAACAGAAACGCCTCGCTGTCTCTTACACAACTGACCTATATAACCTATAAGACCAAATACCATACCACTGGGAACCCAGAAAACTATGTACCATGTTTGGGGATCTGGAATCTGGGATCATATTTGGGATCCTTCTTCTAGCTGTGATCTCTCCTCTCTTCGTTTGATTTCTTTGTGTTTTGCCTTTACTTTTTGGGTTAATAAATATTTGTTCGAGTTAATTATCGTGTGTAGGTCAACAGTAAACATATATGCAGCAGTTATATTTCATTTAATTTTTGTTAAACTGTTTTGGTTTTTATTATTCTTTTTATTCGCTTTTGCTTTGTTTTCTTTTTTTGTAGGTTTCTTGTCGTTAAATAATTTAATTATGAAACAATTTCTCTATATGTGGTTTTAATTACCGTTTAGCGCTTTTATTTTTGAGTCGTTCCTCCCTTACTTTTCCTGCTCTCTAGTTGTTAACAACTAAACGCTTAACAGCTAGCATATTCCGTATTAATTTAGTTTAGTTTGTAATTGTAACATAATTTAGGCTTACGCTTGTGGATTGTTAATTAATGTTTAATGCTCAATGTTTAACATATCTCGGATCTGTGTTGCGTTAAGTACACGCATCCATATATCTAGTACACACTCGTAAATAATAGTTTTAATTTAATTGTAAGTGTAATTTGTTCTTTGCTTATGTCGCCAAACAATGTTTGCCTTTTTTCAATTTTACGTTTATCGATTCTTTTTTGTTTGTAATAATATGTTGCTATAATTGCTATAGTTGTTAAATATTATACTCCCGAAATATATTTACACAGCTTTCATCTTTCGTCTCTTCTCTTTAAATCTACTAATTGTTTCTGGCTTCTAAGTGTTTTTGTTTTCTGTGTGTGATTTATTTTTGTGATTTTGCAGGGGGGCCAAACTTTTAAAGTTCATCTCTGAATGGCGGGGGCCAATATCCAGTATCATACAGTACACAATGTGGCGGCAGAGAACGGGCAGATCGCTCTTTTGTGTGGGTGGTTTAGGGGTGTGGTTTAGGGTGGCTCAATTAAACGCTTCATTGGCTCAGCAAACGCTCTCCATCTGCTGCATCGCCTGGCGTTTGCGGTAGGCATAGAACTCCTCCCTCATGGCCTGAAGTCTGACCTCCACGTTGTCGTAGCGAGGCAGGTGAATCGGCAGAGATCGTGGCTTTCTTCCCCCGTAACTGTGCAGCAGACTCCCACTCAGGGGACCCAGCGTATGATGATGATGATGGTAGGGATGATGCGTATCTATGTGCAGATTGAGATCTTCGCGCAGCATGCTGGATGCACTGGGAGTGGGAGTGGCCGGGTCGAATTCGTAGTGCCCGTCCACACTGCCCACGTCCACGGGACACGGCGGCTTGGGCAGATTGCTATCCGTGGCGGCATTCAGTCTTGAGATCATCTCCAGCCAGTGGGCCATTGTGTAGGGTGGAGTGTTGGCCCGGGGATAGGATGAACCATACGCAGGAGCATGTGGCGTCTGTCCCTGGGCCTGTTGTCCCCCAAAGTAACCACCGCAGTGCTTGGGTGGCGAGGGTGGAGCTCTATAGGGTGGTAATAGCCGCCATTCACTGGTGCTCCCTGGGTGATTTGAGGTGTTTTTCGAGCCAAAGCCACTGGAACTCGAACGGGATTCGGGCGAGGCCTCTAAACCTCCCGGATTCATGGAGTTCCTCAGGTTGAGATTCAGCTGGGGCAGCGGCGAGAGCATCTCGTGCTGCTGCTGTCGACTGCCGAAGAGCCTGGAGTGATGACGTGGATACCACCGGGTCCTTGGACGATAGCTCGCCTGCGATTGGTAGTAACTCCGCCACGAAGGAGGCGACGGCAGCTGCAGGGGCACAAAGTGATCTTCGAGGGGATGCAGCTTCTGCTGCTGCTGCCGGCGAGTCTCCTCCTGAATGGTTCTCAGCGATGGGAGCTCCTGGGAGTAGTACCTATAGCGACTACTCAGGTTGTGCATAGAGGAACGCTCGGCGGAATTCGGGGGATAGACGGTGCTCAGATCGCTGAAGTGTGTGGGATAGGCTCCACTGCCACCGCTGGTGAGCAAAAGTTGCTGATGATGGGGCTGCAATTGCTGGGGCGAACTGGAGAATATCCTGGAGATCCTCGAGGGGGTATAGAGCATCTGCTGCTGCTGACTCAAACTACCACTGATGGTGTTTATATGCAGGGGTCGACTTCTATCCGGGTTGCCATACAAGTTGTGGACATTCTGATAGCGAGCTCCACTCACCGCCGCCTCATTGAAATAGGATTGTGCCGAGGGTTTGCCTCCAATCTTCAATAGACCCTGAAGAAAACCCTTCGCTGAATCTGCGGCCGACTGGAGACTCAGCTGACTGGAGGAGGCCACCAGGGGGCGACGCCACGAAGCTCGAGCCGTGATGAAGTTGCGCCGCGACAGGAAGCCCCCATCATCGCTAGAGGATTTCTGCGAGACGTTGCTATTGCGCCGCTCGAAGATACCACCACCATCCACCACATCCACATTGCCGGACTCCAGGGTCTGTTGCGAGTAACCCAGTTTGCCAGCGGCCCCCACATCCCCATCCAAAATAAAGCGTCCGTCGAGGCTTCGTTGGATGCGGCTCACGGAACGCCTACGTCGTCCTCCTCCGCCTCCTCCATCCTCATCGCCATCCTCGAGATTGGGGGAACTGTAGATGGAGTGGCAGTTGGTGCAGCGATCAGGTGGCCAGATCCAGTGGAGAATGGCAATGAGAATGGCGGTTAGACTTGATATTCGGGTTTGTTTGTACCTAAAGGGAAAATAAATGTGGGTCTTAGTATAGGGTTTCAAAAGAATATGATACAAAACTCAAAAGAAAACAATTACTTAAAAAACGTAAGGAAATGAAAGGAAACGAGAAAACACTGGCGATTTCAAACATACTAAAATTAGTGTCCAAAAGTAGGCTACACAAAATTGAATTTTTTTAAAGCATACTTTTAGACACCACTATTTCGAACTTCTTTCGTTCTTTTTTTAGCAATTTATTTAATTAAACATTTTCCAAAGAGGAAAAAACTTAAAGGAAAAACCAAGAAAATCACTTTACTGAAACCAAACTCAACAAAAGAGAGAAACTCAGATAAAGTTTGAGAAAAGTTTGCTTACGATTTTGATTATGACAGGATGGACCTGGAACTATAAAAACGCTTTCATAATCACGGTAATGTTCAGTATTGCTATGGAGCGATATAGTAGATCGGTGGAACGTGCATGGCGGATGCCAATCAGAGTGAAATGGGTAGACAGATAGATGACAACGTTACAGATACACGGATACAGATTCAGATTCAGATAGGGCGGTGGTAGAATTTAGAGTCAGATATTAGCGAGCCAACCTACAGGGATACTCACTTTTTTAAAGGCACTTGACCAGAGGAAATTGAGCCCGTACTGCGATTGTGCAAATGATGATTATTGGCGGCAATGTTACGAGCGTCCGTTATCCTGCAAGCTACCATGTTGAACTCTGCAAACGTATAATTTCTAAAATTAATTTGGCGTGCAGCGTGAGCCGTCCTATCCGGTAAATAAAATACCCGTACACCGTACGTATAGCTACCAAGCACACACACTCTATATATACACACACGACGTTCACGGGTATATGTTTATGCACATACGCATATATATCTACTACGGTGCTCTCTACATATAGACGTATATAAATGCGATTAGGCTCTTTCGAAACTCGGCTTAAATCAAGGACAAACTGGCGTAATGCGGCTATTTGTTGATTTTTCTAGGGAACGGGTTGAATTGCAGGTCCTTGGCACAGAGAGAAAGGTTATTTTGGGATTAATAACAAAAGTTTATCAATAACACCTTAAAAGTGCCAAAAAGTATGCTACAAAAATTAAACTCATTTTTATAATATTGTTGCATACTTTTGTGAACATTTATAAGTGCTATTCAAACTCGAACCTTTCATTTTTTATTTTAATTAATTTTAATTTTAGAATGAATTTTTAAAAATGGTAAAATTTTTCATAATTTATACTAATAGGATTTGAAAATCACTTGTAAAAGTGTCTAGATTTTTATACCCTTGCAGAGAGTATTATGATTTCAGTCAGAAGTTTGCAACGCAGTGAAAGAGACGTTTCCGACCCCATAAAGTATATATATTCTTGATCAGCATCACTAGACGAGTCGATCTAGCCATGTCCGTCTGTCCGTCCGTCTGTCCGTCTGTCCGTCTGTCCGTCTGTCCGTCCGTTTCTACGCAAACTAGTCTCTCAGTTTTGAAGCTATCGCGATGAAACTTTCCCAAAAGTCTTCTTTCTATTGCAGGTAGTATATAAGTCGGAACCAACCGGATCGGAGAACTATATCTTATAGCTCCCATAGGAACGAAACGTTAAAAAAATTCTAGCTTCGATGTTTTTTGAAATAAAACGTTCTACTCTTGGAAATATTATTTTTTAAATATTTCAGAATTTCGAATAAAATATTTTAAAAATCGGACGACTATATCATATAGCTGCCATAGGAACGATCGGAAAATTAATGGGAAAGTTACACAGAAATAAATTTTAGCTGTTTTGGTTTTTATTGTATTCTCTTCTACTTTAGAACATGACTCTTTTTAAATATTTCCGAATTTCAATTTTAATTTTATCAAAATCGGACGACTATATCATATAGCTGCCATAGGAACGATCGGAAAATTAATGAAAAATATTAGAAAATTGAACATTTTTGCGATTTGTTAATTAATAGGAATGATCTGCAAGGGTATATAAGCTTCGGCTGGCCGAAGCTAGCTTCCTTTCTTGTTTTGCATACTTTTGGGCAGATCTATAAATGATTTAAAAGCTCCTAACTTTAATTTAAAAACACTCAACATTAATAAATTGTAAATTGTTAATAAAATGTAAAAACTTTTTATAAATATAGTTTAATGGAACTCTTTCTCGCTGTGCACCTGCCCTCGTTGATTATGCCAATTTGCATGCCAGCATCGCCAGATTACACACTCCTGTTGTTTCAGTTGTCGCCGCTAATAAGTTTAGATTGTTTAAATTTTAGCAGTTACTAGGCTATTACTAGAGGACACTAAACAGTCGCCATTTACCAGTTAGCAGATAACAGCTTGCCATTTACCAGTTAGCAGTTAGATGACTACGACTAAACTATGTTGTTAGTTGGATTCAGTTTCAGTTTCAGTTTTAGTTGATTGGGGTTGCAATTACATATGTACGGTATAGGAGAAGGAGCAATTCCAATTAGTGAGCTAATTGAACGGCGGCTACGGGTTCGAGGAATCACAATGCCAACTAAATCGAAACTTAATTCTCCTCCGGCCAGTTGACGGTTGTCGAAATATCGATGACAAACTATTCAGGTTCAGGGGATATCCACCTACATACGGCTATATGCGGAAACTCCCCATATATATACCATATAGCATTCACACTCCGAATGGCATATATATACACAGCCGTGTGCTCTTCGCAGTATTTTATTTAGGATCTGGCTTCGAATGGTTGACAAAAAAAAACAATGACACGTGAAATGGCTTTTAAATGGTCAAGTTACGAATTGTGCCAACGGAAAATAGAGAGAGAGAGATTATGAACTCAAGTTTAATGCAAATCGAAAACCAAATATTGCTGATTATATGGGGATTATGGGGGATGCAAAAAATAAACAAAAAAACTGAGAAGAAGCAACAAAGTACTTTATGTGATTCACACAATCGAGGAAAACAAAAAGTGTGTTTGAGAAGTATTGTTCTTGTTTCGTTTGGCTGTGCTGGTTTTGTTTTGATTTTTGGGTAATTATGAGATCTGTGGAATGTGTGGGGTGCTTGAGATTTATTTATATGAGATATAAGGCAGTTTCTTAACGATCTGCTTGAGAAGAGAGGCACTGACAACTTGTTAGTGGAATGCAGATGCTTAATCGATGGTTGTGGTGATGTCAGTGTTGGTTAGTTGTTGGTTGGTTGTTGGTTCTTGATAGGTTCTTGGTTGGTTGGTTGGTTGTTGGGGTGGTTGGTGGGAACTCTCTGCTGAAAATAACCTTTAGTTGTCAGTACTCAGGATCTGTGGCACACGACATCGACTTAAAATGATTGCAAAAACTTACCCTTGCTTGCATCGATGTTGGGGTTTTTTAGGGGGTCTTACTATTATTATATTGTTCGGTCGCTCCGCCCTTTGACTGCCCAACTGGGACCTTAATTTATATAATTTTTAAGGTATTTTACTACCCATTTAAAGTCCCCAAAAGTTGGGCGGCCAGGGGCTTTGGAACACCAGATAACCGATCAGTTGACGACGCGATCATTTTATGCTTCGGATTCGGTTTTGAGTTTTAGTTTTTCATTTTTCTAGGCTTTCTAGATTCGAATACTCTACATAATCGACTTGGTTTGTGGGCCTGGTTTTACCATCTTTGTGCGTGAATTGTTTACAAAAAACGTCTGCCCAGTATTGCGCTATATAGATGGTCATTCGCCATTTATATAGTTGTGGTTTATCTTAATCGCAAATACCTTTATCTGTCATGAACTCAGCCCTGGGCAGAAACAACGACGATTTGGCCAAGAACATGCTTGTCAATGGTTCGGAGATAAAGGTATTTCTATTATTATTATCGTTATCAGCTTGTCACATTTATATCATTAGCGGTTTTACGTTAATCTATCGCAGAAAAAAAAGAATGAAGGCAAAAAAAATGTAGAACAATGTGTTCAGTACTGTACATCATATTTTGCAGTTAATGGGCTGCATTGATTTAAAAAAAAAATCGCAATTTCCCTGCTCTTTGTTTTTCATTTTTTCCTCTGTGTTGTGTAAGTGTGTGGAGGAGGGGTTGGGGGCGGGGTCTCGGAAAGAATACATAAATAATTGATTTAAACAACGCAACATTAATTAATCCACTTAAAATACAGTTTAAAGCAAAAACCATAACAAAAGGCAGAGACAGAGGTTCGAAATGGTCGGTTTTCAGTCCGGGTTTTAAAAGCCAGCGGGCGTCAAATAATGGATGTCCTGGATTTTCTGGTACTCCGGCTCCTCTGGCACTGGCATTTTCAATTTCCGCTCAACTTTGGCCGGGTTTTTCATACTGCTTTTGAAAGGAGTTTCTCTTATTTTGTTCCCCCACAGAAAACGGAGCTTAATCGATTGCTTAACTAAAATGGCAACAACTAGTAATATGTTCATGCGTTGAATTCCAAAAACAAACAGGCTGCAAAGCGCTATGAAGCCAGATTGAGTTTACAGAGAAATAAAGGAATATATATGTAGGCCCAATGATACGAACAGAAGGGTTAAGTAATGGAATGCAAACAAAAACAGATAATTTCGGAGGTCTGATGGCCGATTTGCAACTAAGATCTTTGGGGAGTCACTTTTGTCTACGGAAATGGATTCTGGGGGGTTTACCAGGGGCGGGGACGACCAGGGGTACGGAGAACGGGGTTTTTGGAAACCCCTTGAAAAATAAGAAAATAAGAACTCACAACTCAGAGCTAACGAAATCAAATAAACGAAAAAAGAAGGATAACCAAATGAGGAAAAGCAAACCGAAATCCAATTAGTATGTAAATATATATACAGAGATTTTTCAGCAACTTTTGCCAAATTGTAACTCAATTTTATACTTGCACAACTACAACGAAAACGTACAAATCATACAAAATCTCAGACAGGCATAATTTATGGAGAATTTCATATCAAACGCCTTGGTGGCTCGGAAATTTAGTCAAATACTTGAATTTTCGGCAAACAAACGTATTTCAAATGCAAATTCCAATGTGCCGGTTGTTGTCGAACAAACCAATCTTATTTCGAAATCAAATGGGAAACGGAAGCCCCAAAAAGGAAAGCAAGTAACGGTTATCGTTAATCAGTTCAAAGTTATCGATAATTGGGTGGCCTGTGCCGTCGGAAATAGTTAATTATTATTAAGTACGTTAGTTAGTTAGTTAATAGTTATTGCTGAAATGGTTTTGGGGTTCGCCAACAACAGGAACATCGTCATCGATTATTACGATTACTGTTTGTGGATCGATCGATCGTTATCGTTATCGGTACATCTATATCGTTAGCATTATCATTAGCATTAGCATTTTAGTTGTTTGTTAGTGATAGTTTGTCATCAAAAACCATTTCAAGTGTGTGTGTTAGCTTTAGCCTCAGTGTTACCTTTTTCCTGTTTTCGTCGTTTACGTTTATTGCAAATTTTTACGGCACAAACCGATAAAATGATCGCAACAATAAAAAACAGGATGCCCCCAACGACGCCGGCGGTAATCGCCTTGTGCTTGACTCGAGCCGGCACAGGGAACTTCACCTCGTCGCTGGACTCGTAGGACTTCTCCGAGTTGGCCAGCACCCGGAAGTAGTAGGTCCTGCCGCCCACCAGGTTCTTCACCAGATACTGCGTCTCCTCGGGACGTATTTGTCCCCGGTTGAGGGTCTTCCACTGGGCGTCCGTCCGGTACTTAATCGTGTAGAACTTGACGATATGCGCCCGCTCCAGCGGCGATTGCCACGTGATGAGGAATCCGTTCGACACCTCCGTAACGGACACATTCCTCGGGGGTCCTGGCTTGGGACCTACATACATTGGGGGTGCGAGAAAGGTAGAGTAGAACAAAAAACGATCCATTAGTATGTACACGAAAAAACAGTTGAAATGGGGGTAGTCCTGCCTTGTTTTTCACTCGGCAATTTAAGGCAATTCGATTGCCAGCAACGTACAAAGGTAAAATCCGACACATACATTGAAAATATTTAAGGGTGTAGTTTCATTATTACATTTTCATAACCTAATAAATTCGAGAAATTACAAATACCTATTGTGGGAGTTTTATATTTATTTATATCATTTGCTCTACTTTCAATTAATTTTTTCCCTTTAAAAAATCTTATTTTTCTCAGTGTATGCTGGGCCAAATCGTTTGCATTATTTTTGATTTATTTGCATTTCATTTTATGCCTTGTTTATTTGCGCGAGGGATTTTCCACTGCCCTTTTATTACCTTTTGTCTTTAAACTTCGGGTTCCTACTTTAAATTTGTTTAAATTTACCAATAAAAGGTTTAACAAATAATATATATAAACAATTAACTATTATTTTTCAGTGCAAGCTGCGCCCTTCTTTGGTTTTAGATTTTATTTATTTCCTTTTTTTTCGCTACGCTTAAAAGCTTTATGAAAATTCCATTTGGCTTTTTGCAACTCTTTGCAACCTTTTCCTCTTTTTTGCACCATGCATTTATTCATGACAACGAGTCCTGGATGTGGAGGGGATTGACAAAAACACATTTTAATTAGCATACACACATAAAACTTTCCATTTTCGTACTTCGCATTTGAATACTTGTGGGGTCCCCCGAACTTCCTTCCGTTTGAGTTTGCAAATGGAAAGGAAGGGAAGGGGGTCGCAAATACAAAAAAGTACAAAAATATACAGAAGGATACTCCTGAGTGTATGCAAACGAATTATAGGCATAGATAACCTGAATTCTCGGTACGCTTGTCAGGAACTCCTGATTGGAGAACTCGTGCTTTCCTGCTCGATGCAATTAACTGCCGGTCTTCGGGGGATTGTATTTTGTATGCTGGAGGACTCGGCTTGTCGCACATGCAAATGCAAATTAAAACTGCTTGGAGAAATACGTACAATATGTCATATGTAAATGGGGCCCAATTCGTAGCTCCCAATGGCGCTTATGAAATTTTGAACAGCATAAAACGATGCGATGGTCATGGAATCGTGGAGTCAGGGAGTTTAGATGAGCTGTGGGGTTTATTTTTCGGGGGATGGGGATGAGTTTATAAGTGCAAGCCATTTATTATGACGATGCCGCTAACGAAAAATGCCAAGCTCATTATGTATGTATGTATGTTAATTAAAAATGCTTTTAAAGAGCCCTCGCGGGATTTGGAAAGCGCATATAAACTCTGCGCCGTACTTTCGCATATATCAAAAGTTGATTATGCGAATGGGGCAGAAATGAGCAGTGGCAACCCTTTAATTCTCGGGCCCGCATAAAAAATGTGCGCAGATTTGACATAACATAAACGAGACAAGTGACAAACATAAAAAGCAAAATGGCCCGGGAAAAGCGGCTGGGCGGCTGGGAAAAAGGCCTAAATGAGATGGGTAGACACAGCAGACGGACGGACTGTAAAAATGTCAAGGGTAGTCGAGTCGCCAGGGGTTGGGGTGAAAAAAGGCACGAGGCATCGTCGCACGGTTAAATGTTATTTATGACTGCAGCACCGGGGATTCGGGGAAGGGTTTCTCCTGCAGGGCGAGTTCGGTTCAGGGTGACCCGCAGTAAATCTGCAGTTTGCTTGCAGGAATTACTAGCTGTTTCACAAGACAGAGACATTACTTAAGCGCCACTTGCCAGCGGAATAAAAAAAATGTAAGGGAAAAATAATGCAAGGCAGGACTTATATAGGTTGTTCAGTTAAGTTGTAGATGTTTAAATGTGTAAAAGTGTAAGCAGCTTTCAGCTATGATGTCTAAATGATGTACTTGTGCGTAAATAATAATAAATGGTGGTAAAAATTTGTTAAAAATAATACTGCAAATAGATTAGACTTAAGAATTTGCGTACATTTATAATCTGAAGAATTTGCGTACATTTTTTGAACTGAAGAATTCGCAGGAATATTGTAAACTGAACAATTTGCGTCATTTATGAACTGAAGAATTCTCGTTAAATTTTTACAATATTATTTTATCCAACTTACAACTTTTACACATTTGAAACATAACTAAAGACCCTAAAATGGTATTATGTAGTGATGTTGTGATACGGGTACCTTTGACTCTCAATTTGGGCGGCGAGTAAACTAGCTTGCCAAGCGAGTCGGTGTGAAAGTAAATGTCAAAATATGCTAAGAGGTCTGCAAATAAATCAGAAACACAAGAACACGAAACACAAAATTCAAATCAAATCAAGGCTAGTAAATAATTAAAACTAAAGTGTGTGCAAAAAGTGGGAGGTGCGTGTTTGGAAAATTGAAAGAAAGTGCAGTCCAAGTACCGAATAATAGTGTGCTAACTACAGGGGTCACCTTTTCGAACCAAAGGTCAGAGGGAGAGAGAGAAACCCAATCACTCGCATCGGGTTTTCGATAAGTTTTCACCTTGATCGAATGCAAATGCTCTGGCCCCAACTGAACTGAAAAACTCGCAGGGCAACAAAGACCGTGCTGTAATTATGACAGTGAAATGCATTGAATATTCATAAGTGCACATGTGTGGGCTTTCGTTTATAATCAGCCTTGACATGCATTTAGATTTCACTTCTTCTTCTGCTGGTTGTGGTGGTGGGTATGCCAAGTGGGTGGATTCTAGGTTGATCAGTAAGATTGGGCACTAGTCAACAAATCGATTTTCTGATTATATTGGAAATTAAATTATTATTTTAACCCACTACAAAAATGAAATGGAATACATTTTAAGGAAATCTTTTACTCTTTGAAATCCCTTTTAAAGCTGTCTAAAAGTATGCAGTAAAAAATCCTCTTTTGGAATAATTTTGAAATAAATTGTTGCCTACTTTTAGACACCTTGTTAAAATACTTTCAAACCGCGGGATGTTTTGTAGAACATTCTATTTATTTACTAATTCTAAAACATTATTTTTTTTTTAAAAATCCGTTAATATTTTTAAGAGTAACTTAAGGTATCCCCCTGTTCGATCTCCGCGTTCTTTAATTTTCCGAATGTCAGGACAGAAATGTTGCAAATGTTGAAGGAGCTCGCTGCCTGCTGCTCGCATTGTTGTTATTAATTTTTAAGCGCTGCGCCGTATGGATAAAACAGCAGGGAAAGCAGCAAGCACGCACCGCTCTGCACCACTCTGCACCACCCATTTCATTTCAGTTGGGTGGTTTGGGTGGCAGTTGAATGTGAGCGAATGCCAGCGTCAGCGGGTCTACATGGCGTATGAAAATTGCTTGACATAAACAAATGTGGCACGGACATTCACACACACGCACTCACGAGCACACACAGATGCACAAGTGGGCGGCAGGCGGTGGGTGGGGCAGTGGCAAATGGTTTACCGTTGATGTTTTATGCAGGATTTAAAAAAAAAGGAAATATTATAAGGAAAATAAAGCAGCGACCAAGGAGCACAAACGAAAATAAAAGCCAAAGGAAATACAATTTCTGCGAGGCGTTTGCTTTAGCTGCTGTAGTTGTTTTAGTTACTGTTCTTGTTGTTGTTGTTGTTTCTGGGCTGCTGAGGATGAAATGAGGCGGTGGGTGGATGGGCGGTGGGTGGTTTGTCTGTGGGTGGATGGTAGGTTGGTAGGTGTTTCGTTACAAGCGCCAAAAAAAGGTACACACGTACACGAAATCCAGGGTTGCATTACACAACACGGCGCACATTTGCCGCCAGAGTTGCCGCCGTTTTTACTGTTTTTCGTTTGTTATTTGATATTTTGTAGCGTTTTCCTTATTTTTTCGTTTTTTTCTTTTTTTTCGAAACCTACGCGTGCGCCAACACGTATACGCACTGTGTTCCACGCACAGCACACACACACAGACTAAATTAAATACGCTAAATGGGGGAAAACATTTATTTGTGTGTGTGAGGGGGGGGGGTTTACATACACATATAAAACCAGGCAGGGGGAGGGGGGATAAACTACACAACGAGCAAAGGAGCAAAAGAGACAGAGAGCAGGGATAAAATTAACTAGTATCGCAAAGCGGTTGGAAAAACACGCGGCAACGTCGACAAAGGCATTCAAATTGCCGCACCTACGGGGGCGGAAGAATGTAGAGGGGTTTGAGGAGGGGGCGTGGCAGGCATTTGGTAATATGGTTGTTTAAATTACGCTTGCTTTTTTCGAGGGCAACAGGGGTATGAGCTTTTGGGCGTTGTCATATCGACCGCATATATACAACATACAACCTGCAAGACACGACGGCCCAGTTGTAAAAACAGTTCAATTAATTTAAATAATTAAATGTGCGGGGCCCAAACTGTTTTAATTACGCACACACGCGAACGGACGGAGATCAGGACGGAGGATAGTCGTCCTGTGCGTGAGAGGCGGATATGTAATATTCACAGCGCCAGGACCAAAAGGACTCTGGTCCAAAAATCCCCTGGAACACATGTGGCACAAATTATGCCCCGTGGGAAATGGCGCGAATTTTCGGTGGGCGTGTGTTCTTTGGCAGACAATAAAAGGGGGAGCCCCGGTATAATTGGTTTGAATATTTAATTGTTGCTTTTTTTCGGTAGCCAAAATGAATATTGAATTCATGGGGGAGAGGTTGGGATATTGGCTCTGCGGTCTGTGGCCACCAGGGGGGAAACTAGTTTGATTGAGGACCAGGCAGTCAGACTCTCCAAGAACTAAGTGAAATATTGAAAATTTAAGAGGGGTATTTACAACTTTGGTAGGGGTTACATTCAAGCCTCATGCAAAGTGGGGGAGGAGCCTCTTCTAAAAAAAAATTATAAACAAAAATCATAAATGAATATCCTGTACCAACTAGCTATCTAACTTTTATGATTTTTTTCTAATTATAGTTTCAACATTTCAGATTCAAGGAGAATACAACAACAGGAGCTACACAATCATGCATTAAAATATATAACATTTTTTGTTTAAAAAAAAAATTAACCCCCTTTTAAGATTTTTTAATTTCGGTGATTATAAAATAGAGCTTGAAAATTATCGATATTTCCGATATTTTTACAATATCGATTCGATAATATCGATGTTTTTAAGGAAAAACACATATTAAATACCGAGAAATAACAAACTCTGGATATTTTTCAAGCTCTAATATACATTGCTCTTAGCTTAGGCAAAAAAAAGGGGAAGATTTCTTCTGGCGCAAGAGCTATAATTTCGAAATTTTGAGATCTTTAATCCTTGTACGTTGGTGGCTTCGATTGTCCGATATTTACATACAACTACGCATACTAGGGATTTTCTTTTTTTCTTGGTAGATAGGTTTTTTTCTCTTACCAGCTTCGTCTGGCATTAGCTGAAAGAATGAGTCGGGCGGTTGTGTTGCAGCCTTGACATTACGTGGCGCTGCCGGAGCGTCTTCTATTGAACCCGAATTTTCCGTGGTTCCCAGGAAAAATTCGTGGTCGTGGTTTGGCATTTGACAGTTTTTGCATTTTGAGAGATAGCGCGCATGATTAGTATGAGTAGTATTTATTTTTTATCGATTTTCGATGGAGGTTTGGTGGTGAGGAAAAAGAGAAGAAAACGAGAGAAAAAAAGAAGAGCGTTATGTTAGAGCCAATCCAGAATTCAGTTTTTGTGCAGAGGTTGTTTCTTTTTTTTTTATTTATGAGATTATGTGCAGGATATGCCGGGATATGCGACTGCAGCAAGAGAACCCAAAAAGGTAACGTAGGAGAGAGCAAAAGCAAAAAAGAAGGGTATATATCAAAGGATTCAGGATCCCGAGGACTCACCCAAGGTGCGCACGGTCATCACTTTGCTCATCATCCCGTCGCCAAGGACATTTCTGCCCACTACCTGGAATTCGTAGGTGGTTCCGGAGGCCAGGCCATTGATGGTCACCTGTGTGCTGCCCGAGGGCGTGACGGAGATGGTCTGCCAGTCATTAACACCCGCCTCTCTAAACCAGATGGTATAGTCCTGCTTGTACTCGGATCCCCCGCTATATCCCGGCAGCCATTGCAGCGTGATCGAGGACTCGGTGGCCTTGCCGGTGATATTGTAGGGGGCATGCGGCTGGGTGCCCTCGATCACCAGCTGGGTGACGGCCATCAGGGTGGCCACCTCGTTGGACACCACGCACTGGTAGTAGCCAAAGTCCTCCCGCCGCAGGTTCTCGATGGTGATATTCCCTCCCGAGATCTTGATCCGGTTCCTCTGCGACTCGGCCAGCTGCTCGCCCTCCTGGCGCTGCCACTTGATGGTGGGTCGCTCGGTGCCCTCCGCCTCCAGCGCATCGCAGTGCATCTCCACGCTGTCGCCCACCTTCCGCTGGTACAGGGTTTCCGGTTCGACGGTGAAGGCAGGTGGCTTCCTTACCAGCACATCCATGATCCCCGAGGCCCCAGCCGTTCCCAGGGCATTGTAGGGCGTACAGGAGTACTGACCCTGGTGCTCCTCGTTCACCCGCGTGAAGAGCAGCGACCCGTTGGCCATCACCACGATGTCCTTCATCTGGTAGGGCTCCAGCAGCCGCTTGTCCTTCGTCCAGGTGACGTACTGCAGCTGCGGACTCGACTTGATGTAGCACTGGACCACGCCGGCCAGCCGGAAGGGCAGGTACTGCACCGTGGGCGTGAAGGTCACCTTGGCGGGATCTGAAAGGAGAAGGGGGAGATATAAGTTAAAATGGAATAATTAGGGAATTTAAAACTCAAAAGGGAATAACCTAATAACCTAACCAAAGGTGATCTAACCCCTACTTCAGAAAAAATGATGATACGATATTATATTTAATATTTTTTGATTTTTAGTTACTTTCTTAGTGAAGTATAAAAGTAATGAGGTTCGTACACATCGGAAAGTAGATAGGGATAGATGATATAATAGTGTTCTATGTAAAAATATTAACTTAGAACTGGCTTACTTTTTTCGCGTAAGAAGTGATTGATTTTAAATTGAAGCAATAGACTACATTCTAGATTAATATAAAAGACCCCATAAAAAACGGCCAGTAGCAAAATTTACCCAGAACGGATTGACGTAAAAATCTAAAAAAATCACATAAATTCGTTTAATAATCACTAATAAGTTTAGAGTGGTAGTGACTTCCTTGTATCATATTTATAGATACGATGCAACAGTAGATAGGGATATATGTGCCAAATAAACAATTACTTAATCAAGTAATTATATAATTAAATATCTAGCTCTTTTTTAGCCACTTTAATATCTAAATTCCCTTTTCAAATACTCACATTCGACGCTGAGGTAGGCGGAGGCGCTCTGCGGATCCCCGATGCCGTTGGTCACCTCGCAGAGGTACTGGCCCGAGTCGTCCGGCTTGATGGGGTTGATGATGAGCGAGCCGTCCTTGCGGATGGTGACCCGGGTCTCCAGGGCGGCCACCTCCCGGACGGGGGAGCCCTCGCGGTACCAGCGCACCGTCACATTCCCGGGCATGGCCTTAGCCTCGCAGGAGAATATCACTTTTTCGCCCTCGTTCTTGGTTTGATTGGTCGGGGGCACCTGTTTTTTTTGGGGATACGAACAAAAATAAGGTATCAATAAGAGGTAGTTCCCGAAAAACGGTTAACGAACTGCAAACTTATGATGGCTGACTGTTGACTGTTGACTAATTCAAATCATGAGAGAAGGAACCACCCTCTTTTTTATTTCTGGAGCCTGGAGCTTGACAGCTAATTTTTGGCTGTCGCCGTCATCGATATCGGTATCCTTTGTGTGTGCACTCGCTACTTGCCACCGAGAAATAACATTTTGTGCTGTCACAGCTATGAAATGTGCTACCCTGATTTCCCCTGCCATTGACAACTTGTCAGTCAAATGTCAGGAGTCCCGAACCCCTTTTCGTCCTTCCCTCGGTAATTGCATGAGTGCATTCCGTTTTAGAGCTTGGTTTATTTAATGGGCCGCTTTGCTTTCGGGCGATTTGCTGGCAGACTGTTTCTGTTTCTGCTTCTGTTTCATTTGAATTAGTTTTAGTTATGGCCAAAATTGATGTGGGTTCGAAATGTGGGTCGTAAATTGAATTGGCTCGTTCTCGACTTCGATTTCCCCTGGGGTCATCTGTAAAATGTCCACTTTGCCTGCGGCCAGATAAATGTTATTGCAATATTTATGCGCAGATTGCTGCAAAACGGTTGAGCAGTAATTGAGGCACGAGGTATGTGCAATTTCCCAACCCAATCTTTGCTTTCTTGGCTTTCTTGGCTGGCCTGAAAAGCCAAAGCAAAAGGTCAAAGTTCAAGCGCTCCAAGACGCCAAGCAACGTTCGTGCATGTAGAACGAAAAACCCTAAGCCAGCAAGGATAGACCGAAAACGGGCAGGATTGCTTGTGGGATACAGTGAAAAATATGGGATAAGAGATATTTTAAATTGAAGGATTAATTAAAGATTTAATCTCATCAAAATTAATACTTTGGGATTATTATATTGGGATGAGGTACTTTATTGGAATCATATAATGTATATTTTAGAGAAAAACACCAGGATAATATTAAAAATATTCGTACTACTTTTGGATATACCAAGAAGATTTTGGTGAAAATAATTTGGAACTATTATAAAAGGAAATTTCAGAACAAAAACTCCAGAATTTTTAATTTCCTTTTTATATAGAAATAGGATCATTATACGTTCTCAGCACTATTTTTACTTGGTATCATTAAAAGTATTCTAATGATAGTGATATTATTAAAATATAAAGGAAAAATTATTATTATCCAAGTCAACCAAATTTAGAAATAGTTTTTCGATCCATATTCTTTGAAAACATTTCTGAATAGGTACTATAATTAAGATCTATCATATGCAGTATGTGGAAAAATTACACATTCCTTAAAATGTTATGTATTTCCAAGTAGGTTTATTTTTCTTGCAGTGCAGGCTTAGTTGCAGTTGCTAACTGTAAATAACCGAAATGCAAATGCATTAGCGGGCGCGCACAAAAGTATGCTATACAGACGACGACGACGACGGCCATGTTTCCACCCACACATGCACAAAGGTTTTCCCCATTTCAGAATGGGAGGCGGAACACTGGGGGGCGGGGCTCTTGTAAGTGTGAGGGGGGTGGTTTAGGGGGTGTGGGTGGCATGTGAGCATGCTTGTATGCAGGTTGTAAATAGGGGGATCTGGTCGAGACTAGGCGAATGACCATGTCAAGTGTACCGAGTGGTGCTCCTCCTTCTGCTGGTTGTTCTGTTCAGTTTCTGTTTAGCTGTTTTTTGAACAGGGGTGTAGAGGGGATGGTCTGCCCTTTCTGGCATGTAAATACGGGCCGGATGGAGGCCACATGGAGGCACACAAAAAGTTTCACGCTTGTTACGGCTTTTTTTCCCCTCGTTTTTCGTTTTTCGGGGCCAGCTCCTTTCTCAATCGGAATATCTGGAATCTGGACATGGTTTGGTCGGTCTGGTGATTTCTGAAGCCGTTTCACCGGCTGCTCTCTAAAGTCCGAAATCCCAAAGCCCATGGGAGTGATTGGTTCGGTTTTGCTGTGAATGGGGGAGTTCGCCAGCTCTTGCAGCTTAGTTAATGGGTAAAAGCGTTGAACAGATTATGCAGTATGCGGAATGTAGAAATCCAGAATGCAGAATGCAAAATGCAATGCAAGTTCAGTTTCGGGACTTACACGTATGGTCAGCCTCTCATTGACGGCATTCGACTTGGACTTGGTGCGTGTGTGTTTATCGGGCGCCGCCTTATCCTACGGTTTTTCGTTTTTCATTGGGAATTGGTTTGGTTTTCGAGGGGGTATCGATTTAACGTGGGGGGGGGTAGAGAATAAAACTACATATTAGTAACCTGCTGCGAACCCTGGGTTTTGTGGCCAATGCTCTTCAAACTCCCCTCTCAAAACTCCCAAGACAATCCGCTCCCCTAAAACTTCGGTTTTGTTTACTATCAGGGGTGTCCCAGAAACCTCTGGTGATTTTCGGATCGGTTGGTTTGAAATTCAACCGAAAAGACAGTCGATATTCCAGAATTTTTAGTTAAAACTCTAATCACAAGGGCTTTGAAATCTCCCAAACAGATGTCTAAAAGTATGCAATAAAATATTTTATATTTTCATTGTATACTTTTAGGCTCAGAAATTGTTAGTGCTTTAAACTATTTTACTTAGGTGTCTTAAACTATGCAACAAAATATTTTATTTTTTCATTGCCTACTTTTAGACACCTAAATAAAATAGTTTAAAGCCCTAAACATTTCTATGCCTATTTTGTAGGATACTGTGTAAACAAACTTAGATTCTCGGCTGGAATTTAGGAAGACACTTCTGGAACACCCCCCATTCTGTTTTATCTCAAAATTATGTGATTTGTATTTAGGTTTTTACCATGATTACAGCGCCGCCCGCGATTATAACACGGGCCGTATGGGAGACTTGTCCCTCACCATTGCGTGCAATGCAAGTGTACTCTCCGATGTCCTCGTGCCGAATGGTGGAGATCCGCAGCTCGGTGCCGTCGTTGAAGATGCCCACCGTGGGCGAGGGATCGACGGGATTGGCATCCTTGTACCAGAGTATTTCCGGCGTGGGCGTGCCATCTGCCTGGCAATTGAGTATAATTGAATCACCTGCAAAGGGAAATGTGGTGCGAGTGCCACAAACGAAATGGGAATGAGAATGAGAGCGAGAGCGAGGAATTAATAAGGTAAGTGGTGGCAATTGTTACGCTTTTTGGTTTCAAGGAGGACGAGGCGCCTCCTTCCGGCTGGGCCACCCTTTGTCTATCCTTCGTCCTTCGTCCTGCCACCATTTGCGGCAGACAATGGCAACGGGGCCGGGCTCTTTGTTGCAGTTCCCTACTCGCCTCACTGGCCCCGTTGTTTTCTGTACACAGTTTACAGTACTTTCAGCTCTCACAATTCAGAATCAGAATTTATGCGCTGCAGCGCCATTTTCGCTCAACGCATTTCCGGCCCCTTTTGTTTTCTTGTAAACACATTTTAACTTTGATTAAGCGGCGGAAATTTGATTTGATACGAATGTGAGGGCATAAAGAGCTTATCGATTTTCGTGGGCCGAAAAACCTCTTGCACGCTGTGTTTTTTTGGAATCGGAAGATGACAAATGGGCGGCCATAACTCGTTTTGAGAAGGATGGTGGCACTTTTTACGACTACTGGGAACTCCTGGGAATACAAGTTCTCAAGGTGACAAACTCATTCGGGCGCTGCAACAAATGGCCGGCCATTTGACACACTCGAAAGTGGGCCAAAAGCACACGAAGGGGGGTCGCACTCCACTTAATTCTGCGAGATGACAGCCCCCAAATAAGTTGGCCAGCCGAATATGCGCTTATTTATGGCCTTGCTATTTATCAGAGCGCAAAGAGGCTGGATTTGAGCTCAGGATAGTGATAGGAATGGCAGAAAATATCGATTTAATGATATAATACCGATATTTTAAAAATATTTATCGATCATAATATCAAATAATTTGTAATGATCGATTTTTAAAATTAAACTGAACGATTTTTAATTATAAATTTTAATCATGTCATAAGTAAAAAATGTTAATCGAGAAAAGATTGCAAGACGTATCAAACAATTTTTTCCGATATTGTATCGATATTAAATGTTTCGATTATTTTTACCGAATTTTATCTATAATATCGATATTTAGTTTTTTCGTCAAACCTTGTGTACTTACCTAAATTAACGTATATAATATCCTCTGGCGTAACACTAAAGCGCGGCGGTGCATGTACGTCTAAGTGGAACCATGTACCGTTCTTATGCTGCTTGGGGTCCCGATTGAGGAAGACGACCTTGCACTCGTACCATCCCTGGTCCGATTCCCGGATGTTGGTCAGGTTGAGCGAGGCGGAGCCGAAGGGCGAGTCCTGCGAGACGCGGGACACGCGTCCCTTGTAGCCCTCCTCGATGTGCTCCGGATAGCTCTCATACCAGATGTAGATGGGCAGATCGGAGCCCTTTGATGGGAGATGATAGGAGGACATAATAGTACATTAGTCGATATCGATAGGTCGGCGGGGCGAGTTGATTCAGAGTTGATTATCGATTGATTGGTCTGTCTGGAATGCGTTATATGCATGGAATATGTGCCATGGCATTTGTACATACGACAAACGAGAGAGTCTGGTTTCTGGTACGCTTCGACTTGGAACAGGTACACAGGTACATTTACAGGTACAGACAGTATTTAACCTAGGGTTATGATTCGGTTTATGAGTCGCTGGGTTTGTTGGGGGCTATGTACAAACAAACATGCTATTTTCTAAATCTACGCTGTACACTGTGTGTGTGCGGCATGCAGGTGCAAATGGGGATTAAAGCTAATCGGGGGAGATTCTCGAAAGTTTCCCGCTGAGACAACGCAAACAACTAACAACTGTCGCAAATAAATTGAGTTGCGACATAGCCACGGGGGACATAACTGCGTTTTCCTCTGCGTCTGTGTAAAAGTAAAATCTACAAACAGTCAAAACAAAAACTCATCACGTTAACGTGGAGAAATTGCGATGCCGCTGCCGCATGGTAAACATGCCAGCAAACAAACAAGCGCTCTTTCGCAGATACACAAACTACATATATAGTATACAGACATGGTCACACATTTTCACTGTCAACACGAACTCCCCAGATCCTGGGCTCACCACTTGCTCCTCCTCGTCCTTTTTGCATGCTCATCAACAGCCGGAGGAAAACTACCCCCAACTACCCCCACATACATAGTATTTTTGTTCTGTGCCAGGGACACGCTGGCAACAATAAATCATGTGAGTGTGCCACACTAAAACGAGCAAAACCAGTAAAACGACGAGGGCCAAAGAGATACATTTGAAATTCTAGCTTGTGCAGATAAAAAATGTGCATGTGAAATATATAAATTTCGAGGCAGGCAACAAAAATTGGGGTTAACCTGCAGCAATCGCCCCTTTTGAGTTCCTCAACCCATCCATGAGTGCAACTCTAGGTCCTTTGTTTATTTTATTCACAGGATGCATTGAACCGAGTGCGCTTTCGATTCGAATTCTCCTGCATGACCAACGGTAGATATCCCATCCCTATAGAGAGCACTAAATACCCATAGCACATGGCAGGGCGGCATAATTGCGTATACGTAAATAATTGGTAAGCAAATTGCTCATACGCCACGTTATCCCAGGCCGGGGCTAATCGATTTATTTCCCTAATTAGACGAGGGAGGCTGCTGTGTATGTGTCGCTTATTAAAACTTATAGACGTTTTAATAATTTCCTCGGCTGACGTATGAAATAATTTCTGTTGGCAGAACGGCAAAGGCAAAAAGAGAGGCGAAAGGTCACAGGACACGGAGACACACACACAGACAGACAGACGAGGTCCTTTGGCGAGGTTGTCGGGCCAAAATTAATATTCGCACTCGCAGAAGCGTCATAAGTTGGCTTGGCAAACATTTTTCCGCTTAATTTATTCAGTAGCAATTAATTTAGATTGCAACTAAGGCAACGCCAGACTTTCGTCATTTCTCCTGGGACGGGAGAAAGCTCTCTCTTAAAGCGCAGAAAAGTAGGCAACCTTTAATGAAATTCTTTTCCCATTTATGGGCCAACAATGTATGTATTTACGGGGGAAAGTGGAAGAAATGCGAGTGAGAGAAATACGAGCGCATAAATTAAAAGCTAAAGCCATGTTAATCCCTTTAATTCGGCCATTTACCGACTGTTTTCCGCTTTCAGTTTTCCCCGCAGCTGCGGTCTGCGTATTTTTATCGCGACAAAACATAAACATACTTTTTGCCAGTACTTATAACTTTGTTTCGGCATTAAAATTGCTTGTAAAACTTTGTGAAGTTGGCTCGCAAAAAACAGGAGACGTTATCTATAATAAAACACACACACATATATGCGCATAACTTTGGCTGCATTTCGCTAAGCGAAGGACAGTCGTGACTTTGACGCCCACGAAGACCTCGTCCTTTTTGTCCCTTATCCTGGCTGGCATTGCTGGCATTTTCCACTTTATTATCCCTGCGGTTTTTCTTGGTTTTTGCCATCAAGCTGCAGCAAGAAAGTTGGCTTAGGCGTGCTGGAAATTATGGAAAGTAAGCTGTTTGAGGTCGTGGTTCAGCTTCAAGTCGCTGAGCTGAGGTTGCCCACGTTAGTTGGCTTCATCAAACTTTGCCGAAGAATACATACACAGCTAGAAAAATATCGGGTTTAAACTAGAGTGAAATTTATATAAAAACGACCTTCAATTTGATAATCGCAAACTAAAAAAAAATCTATAAGCCCCAAAAAAACAGGAAGAAAACTATTTGACATAAAAATCTAAAAGCAAAAACCGAAATTCAGGAAAAATATTATTATTATTATATTAATAATATTATATTATAACTTTCTTGTTTTTTGGTTAAATAATGAATAACTCTGTAATTCCTTATACAGAATTTCACCACTATAATTTCTTATCATTTCACTGTAGGTGTATTTCTCAAGCTCAAGTAAAATAGTTTGCTACATACTAAGCATGCAGAAGAGGCTGGGAAAAATAATTGGATTACATTACAGAAAAACGCCAAATGAAAAAGATGAATGGAGAAAGAGAGAAAAAAGACGTGACTGGGTGGCGGTGCTCTATATATAAATATGGATGTGATGGGTGTTTCGTTGCGCCTTTTGCTTATTTGATTGGAATTGAATTTGCTTATCCTACGGGAATGTGCAGTGGCAGTTGGAGCTGCCAAAAATATGCCATATCAATCGATTGTCCGAGTGGCAGAGTTGCAAAGTTATCATCCTCATGGAATTCCAAACGAATCTTGGCTCCTCTGTTTATCTGCGGCTCAACTTTGCCAAACATTAGCATATTTCTGCAAACTCCAACGGCCACAGTGGGTGGATTTTGGGGTGATTTGGTTTTTGATTTCTGGGTGGTGCAGGCGGCATGAAAGAGCTTTTGAACACTCGCAACTAAAGTCTGGGCAAATGTGACTAATTTGTTTTCAATATTTTTGCTCGACTATGAATGGTTGTGGCTAATTGTTTGGGATTTGCATGGTTGAGGAATAAACGGTAGTGGAAATTGTTTTCATTTTCATTTTTGGTTGGCAGTGAGCAGTGAGCAGCTAAGCTAGATTTTTGTGTATGCTTTTTTTGGTTTTGGATTGCGAACGAATTTCGATTTGATTTGATTTGCAAATGGAATTTCATTTTCATTTTCGATTTCTTTTATTTGTTGGGTGGAATGTGGAATTTTTCTGTATCGACTGCTTTCTTCTCTTTCGCTCTCTTTGGTCCGGGTGCTGTTTTTTTAGCCCGTTCCTTCAATTGACAAATAATTTGATTAATTTCATCTTTCGTGTTTTCGAATGCCGCAAAAATAACTCGATTCAAAGTGTCGAATATTGAGTGTGTAGGTATATATTTCGTGTATTTTTGTCTCGTGTGTTCTGCAAACTTAAAGGAGGCGCAAAGAATCCGATCCCAAAATCGATCAGAAGCGATCAAAAAGCCTGCCTATGTTTAAGTAATGTGATTGGGGGGCGGGTATCAGGGATAGTCCACCGATTTCAGGCCGGAGGATATATATATAGGTTGATGGCTGTATGAGAACCAAGGAAAATCAAACTGAGCAAACTCAAGGATTCGAAATTACCAATATATCAATATGGAAACACATAAACACATACATCTCAAGCTATAAGTTATGGTTATTCTGTATCGCATGGACATCAACAATCAACATTCGGTTATCGGATCAACTGGTTTAATTTGGTTAATTTGGTTGCTGCTTCGTAAGCTTTAAGGCACGATAAATAAACTCAAAACTTAATTGAAACTCAGGCTGAGTAACTGATATCTGCGGAACGAGGGGACTTAAGGGGGGTTCACAAGGCTCAGTTAAGATGGTATTTTGTACGTTTATATTTGAGATAAAAAACACTGAATAGAGGTTGATTGGTAGTAGGTTGGTTGGTTGGTAGTTCTTCTGTCTGTCTGTTCTGACTGACTGTTTCTTACTTTTTCTGGCTTTGTTTTTGCGTATCGGAACAACAATGTAAAAAAGAGAGTTTAGAGAAGAAATGTTAACTGTGATATCGTACCGTTTCGCTCACCTTCTTGTCCCACTGCAGGACATATGGCACGGGATGGTCGTTGGGGAACTCCACATGGCAGTTGAAGATGACGCCCTCGCCGAGGATGGCCGTGATGTGCACGGCGTCTTCTGCAAAGGAAAAGGATAAAGAAAAAGGATACAGGTCTCAGTTATTCATCGCTTCCATATCACTTGTTACACACGAGAGTGCGAATTCCCACCGCATCGCCAGGATTCCCCAACGTGATGCGCCCATAATACGGCCAATTCCGCAGCCGCAGTCTCTCGTTCTCATTCCCATTCTCGTTATTGCTTTCTATTTAGACGTGACATTCAGCACGATTTACGTGGCCCCCGGAACGAATGTCCAACCCATTCGGAACCATCCGCTGACAGAAGGAATGGCAAAACCAACATGCCAGGGGTTACTTTTAAATGGATTTGTTGATGGCTATGTCGGTCACATGTCAAGTGCTGGTCATTGACTGATGTTTCTGCCCCACCACCATTATTCCCAAGGGACCAATAGCCCGGCTTCCATTTTGGTTTTCAAATCAGTTATCCCATTGAAAGTCGCTGAATGTGAGTGTGGTCCTGAAACTATGGTCAGAATATGCAGAGGAATGCACTCGGGCATCACTTAGAAAAAACAAGAGTAGTTTAAAGGGGTAAGGGAAATACAGATTATTAGGCGAGATGCTAGAAAAAGGGCATTACATTATCATTCTAACTCAGAAAACCAATATTATTTTAGCTATCTTTTGGTTTAAAAACTGAGTAGATAGGGACAGTAGGAAAAACTGAAATTTGCTGTAACCGGGCCAAATAGGATACTAAATCGAAAACTCTCAGTCATTCGTACAGCTAATAAGCTAATATATCGATTTCTAACATTTTCCGGGTAATTTAAAAAAATTATATTTTACCCATTTTTGAATATTCGGTACGGGGTTGTCACATCATGATTTTTTGCGAAAAAATAAAAATGTTTAGACTTGAATGCCAATCTATAGGGAATTTTACTACGAGTTCATTTTTTCCATTTTTTCCGAAGTTATAGTCAAAATACTGATTTTTTGAGCTGAACTGAATTCAGTTTCTTAATTGTTTTTTCTGTAGCTTGTCCAAAAAGTATACGGAATTCTTTATTTGTACGTTTTTTTCTAACTGTTGAACATTAGTTTTATTTATTTAGCACCTTTTTTCTAAAAATAGTTCCTATTTTTTTCCCCTGCATGTCGGTTGACCTCTCAAATAAAAGTTATTGACCACACGCACACACACAGAGTGAGAAATCAGAGGAACTGAACTCTCTGGTTGACGAAAAGTTGCTTTCTAGCATTTCAAGCGACTGTCCCTCTGCCTTGACAACGAGTCGTGACATTTCATTAGCGTTTGTCACCTGTCTGTGGCCAAAAGGTAGGGTGCCAGGATGGGGATGGTGGGATAGAAGGGTGGTAGGATGCCACGATGCCAGGATGGACTGCGGTGGGCACTTGACAGGCGCTGATTAGGCTCCTTGTTCGCCTGCCTTTGACGGACGCTTCGTTTCTGTGCCCGAGGTGCGAATGTGCCGGGCATTATTTATGTATGCAACGCCCCCAATAGTGACACCCTTCTCCGCCAGAGGGCGCTCGCTCGCACTGCCGAGCTTTTCTGAGCCGTTGACATGGTCAACCAAGCTGAAAATTTCGTTTACAATTGGAGCAGAGCTCAAAGCTCGGCAAGCGGCAACGGAAATGCAAATGAATTGTCGGAAACAGCAGGACAACAGCAACAGCAAACTGGGTAGCAATCCAATAAGGGAGCATATCCTGTTACACACACATGTGTGAGTGAGTGTGTGTGGGGTGGGGGGTTGATGTTCTATGCCACTTGAAGATGGCGATGGAGCCAGTGCAGAATCTCTGGCTCTGGCATGATGACCCTAAACTTGTTAACAAACAACTTCTGACCTGCCTGCACATGCCACATTTCTCTGCCGCCCCCTCCCACCCCCTGAACATTTCCATTGTAGCCAGATCCAACTGTATCTGTGTCGGTAATAGGGTTAAGCAAACTACCAATGTCCGAAGGCAATTGTTCGGGCCGGCCAAACGCTCTTGATTGGGGCGTTGTCCGGCAAAAAATCAACTTAATGCGTTTTGCATTAATTCCAGTCCCCGTTATCGTTCGAGTTGGAGATTGTTGGAGTGGGAAAAAGCCTGTCAGGGACTTGGGGGTCCAGCTACATGACGTCTTTGTTAACCTCCTCTTTCATCAGACACTCGACCAGTCAGTCACTCATCCACTGACTGACTCACTCATTCAGTCGCTGGCTCGCTTTATGCACTCCTCGCCTGTTGACTTTGGCATTTGCATAAATTTATGTTAACTTGGCCAGCTTTGGCAGACTATTTGCATCGCCACTCAGCCTCCGCTGGCTGCTCCCGAAAAAGGCAGAAAAAATACAGAACAGAAAACAACATCAGGAGCGACACAAAAACAATGACGACAACGACTTTGATGGGGGTTGGCAATGGTGATTATGCTGCGAAGTATGCACTGAGAGAAAAGAAGCCATAGCTATGAAATCTATTCATCAGAAATCGTTTTCTCAAATACTGATTAGTTAACCTCAACTGCTTGCTGACGATCCGAATATTAAGCGAGTGTCATGTAACCTCATACTTAAAAAATTCTTTCTCGGGCTATTTTACCACATGTAACTCTAACTACTACTGCTCACAGTAACTGCTTTGCTTTATAAACTACTTCAACTGATTGATTTTAACTGCTTGCTGACTATTCGAATTTCAAGAAAGTTTCATAACCTCAAGACTAGCAACTACTTTTTAACCTCTGGTTAAATAATAAACTGTTCACAGTTACTTCTTTACTTTATAAACTTTGACTGTCCGAATATCGAGCAAGTGCTATAAATTCCTATTAAGCAACTTCTTTTTAACCTCTGATTAAATCTAAAACAAATTCCAGCTAGTGTAAACTCAAAAGTATTTCTCTCCGTGCACAGCCAAGGCACTTGTTCGTCTATTGCCCTTTGATAATGTTGCAGACATGTCGCCGAGAGCCAAGTGAAGTACTCGAGGGTAGCAGGAAGTCAGGAAGTCGGAAAGCTAGGAAGCCAGAATGCCAAAGTACCCGCGTGTGTTTCGCCTCTGTCGCGCCTTTTGATGGCGTTAACATGCAAAAGTGGTTTCATTATTCCATTTAGAATGTCCTTCAGCCAAAGGCAGACGTTTTCAACGCTACTCAAGCCCAAACCACCCGTCCACCCACCACCAACCGAACACTTGACACCGAGTTTCGGGCTTGAGTTATTCAGCGAGGCAGCGCACTTTGTTTTCATTGATTAAAGCCAAGTCGAGTCGCCTTCGAGGAACTTACTGCGGCACTTCCCATCCAGCCCATCAACGCCTTCAGCTTGCCGTTGACCTTTCGACCGTGCTGCAAAGTGGCCATTCCACTGCGCCGCTGCCATGGCGAAAGGAATCTCGAGCGGTTTTTCCAATTTTCGGCTAAATTAAATTGAATTAATTCACTCGACGAGCTCGAAGAACGAAGAACGCCACGGTACATTGAACCAGGGAGCCAGTGGCAACTTTTAATGTCCTGCGTGGAAGGGCAGGAGAGACTATCAGGAAATAGGACAGAAAATTCGAATGGAGGTCAGCTCATTGAATTCAGTGGTGGGCCGAAGTTCACGAAAGGTTCTTTGGTGGGCAGTTAGCCCATGACATTTTCAAGCCTGTCAAATGCATAAATCACAAAAAATGCAATGGGTAACCTTATAAAAAACATTTCTAACATTATTTGGAAAGTAGTTATACGTGGACTCATTCACAAAATATATATTAAATTCCCAAAGATTCTTGAATATTCATCGTAAAAAAAAATGTTTAAAATAACTTAAAAAATTCAAGGTATTTTTTAGCGGAAAAATCTGACTCAGAAATCAAAAACCTAAATTTTAAAATAACAGCAAGATGCTTGTAAAAATCAAAGTAAAAATTCAAATAGAAAAACGCCAAATGTTGCACCAGACCAGTTCTAAACTTGCATGAAACCTTTGAAATTCAGAACCATCGTTACCACTTCAACGAATTTGATTACACATTCGAGAAAAAAAACCTATTGTGCTATTGCCGAGAGCCGAAAAACGAATAAATCAAAAGGCCTAAATAAAAGCTCCACTCTCTCTTTTTTTTTGGCCAGTAGTCGGAATACACTCGATGCTGCGCCCAACTGTCAACTAATTGCCAAATGTAATCAGCTTTGGCGGCACGTAAGCCGCTTATTGTGCGCCATTAAATTTTCCCGAGCACCGAGTGCTCAGTACTGAGTACTGAATACTGAGCACCGAATAAAAATCAAGTTCCACACATGCGCCCTTTCGCAAAGTCGCTTATCAAATTTTCAAATGAAATTTTTGGCCGCGAATAGCCGAGGCTTTTGGCGTTGGAGATTTAATTAAGCGACTTGATTGCACTCAAAAAACTCACCTGGAATGTTGTGCGCCTGGGCATTTTTCGCCAGAAGGGCCAGCAACGAGACCAAAACGAACTGGAGCACCTGTATCGTTGGCGTTGACCCCTGACCCTTCCAGATGGGAAGGCTGCGTCTTCTCCTCGTCGTTTTCACTGTGAAAGCTGCCGTCTTCGCTGGCGATGCCGTCAGCGTTTTAGTAGCGGGAATTCTCGTTGTCCTCCTGGCAGGAATCTCCAGGGACTGCTGCTGCTCCTTTTCCAGCTGCTCTGATTGGTGGGTGGTGCTCAATGCCCGACACCATCGATGAGACCCAAGGTCCGCGCACACGCCCATGCCTCTGTTCCCATAGTTCAACGCCGCCCGCCTAACGTATCCTTCTCACCGGCAGTGGCGTCATCTGAAAAATAGGAGAGAAAGAAAGCAGATTGCATTGGTATTTTGTTTGCCAGTGGATTGCGGTAAATGTTGCCATCAATGAACGCCTTGCAGTCGCACCTGGCTGCACTTGATGAAGCTGTCACGTTCCTCAGCCGTCATCCATCACAGCCGTCAGTGTCAGACGTCAGGTGTCAACGGAGATCCCCACAAAACCACCCCAAGTCCACCCCAGCCCACCCCCAGTGGCTGGAAAATCCCCTCTGGGTCAACCCAACCATCTCCAAATGCAGCTCGTCAAATATTTACCTATTTTTCCACTAAGAAACCCATGTTTAGTCCCAAAAACTGTTTAAACTTTCGTCAAACTTTTCTAATGCACCTTTTAATGTGAGAAGTTTTTGCTAGGTTCAAGTAAACTTTCAGTGTTGATTTGGATTTAACTATAATTACTAGACTTTTTGGCAAAACATTGAATTTTTGCACAAGCTATACAGAAATAAATGATATGTTTGAACATTTTAGTACCCGTTGTTCTAAAGAATTCGCGGTCTCAGAAAATGCATTATATTGCATTATAGTATCAAATGTATATTTGTTATCTGGTATTTAGTTATGGGTAGCTTACAAATCGAAACATATGTATCACAAAGTCTTGAAAGCCCATGTAAGTTAAGTCTAACTATTAAAACCAACACAGACCTTGAACTTATCATGGTCGACAATCTACTACACCTCCCCCAAAAACGCAGTACCAAGTTATTTCAGCAGACAGGTAAACCTTATCGGGCATCTTGAACAACCTGAAACGGCGTCCTAAGCGCCCCGTTGACAAATTAATAAACAAAAGTTTTCCATTTCAACACTCGTTGGGCGAGGACACACACACACGTCCGTGAAATTAAGCAGCTAATATGTTGTAGCTACAACTGATAAGGACACCACTTAGCAGATTGGTGATGGGGGTGCGCAGGAACCCTCACAAAAGACAAGGCCCCGAAAACTTACGAGGCTCCTATACAAATAGAGCAAACTTTTCTCTTTCCACCAATAAAACTTTGCGTTTTAATGTAAAACTCGTGTTGGTTGTCGAACTACGAAGAGAAAAATGAGCAGGAGGATGGGCCTTTGTTTCATACTTTATCTTAGGATCGAGATCGGGGGCCCATTTTTTGGGACTGCAGTTAATTGAAATGGCATTCACCCACAGAAGTATGCAGAATGACACAGAAAAAAGGTGAGGAAGTAGTAAGGAAGGGGTAAGGAAGTGATGAGAAAGTGGCGAAGAAGTGGTGAGGAAGGGGTAAGAAGTGCTGAAAAAGTGGTTAAGAAGGGGTGAGTACATTCCCTGTCATTCTCAGTCGCGAGCAAAGACTGAAATGTGTTTTTAATTAAATTATTTGGAATGCTTTAAGCGGAATTCGCTCAATTTGGTCTTATTCTCCCGTATTCTCCGCCATTACATGGCCACGTAAATATAAGCAGCTGCCGTAAAAGTCCCCTTGAATCCCTGGAAAAACACAAAAAGCCACAGAAAGAGCCACCCACACAGACATTTTAAATTGCAGGCAAAGCATTTTTGTAACGATTTTCGTTCCCGCGAGGAAAAGGAGAAGGGAAATGCCAGGGAAAGAGCAGGGTGAAAAGCCTTTGCTTTTCCTTATTCAATGTTGTCACTGCAATTAAGTAACTCGAGCAAAGCTTCCCTCAGGATGTGTGTGTTTTTGTTTTTGTTTGTGTGTTTCGTGTGGATGGAAGGATGGAAAGTTCTCGTGGCTGACAGAGCTGTATAAACGTCATTAGTGCCATTTTAATGCATAACTTAATACATCCGGTGAGAACAGTGTATTACACACACACAGCAGTCCTTGTGCGTTGAATTTAATCCTTTCTGGCATGACATGTAAAATTTTAATAACGTCAAGGTTTGTGGAGCGTTATTAAAACTTTTTGCGCTGCTGCTGCCTCTGCTGCTGCCATTATGACAAGTTTATTAAAACGAAATTTATTTATAGAGCGCACTCAAATCCCTCAGCGCGAGTCCTGTGGCTCCACATCCTCCTCTTTCTCCATACAACCACATCAGAACTAAAAGCCCAGGCAACAAGCAAGCACCAAAAATCGCATTAAGTGTGCGGTGCCTCCACGTCCTGCTCCCAAAAAAAAGAGAAAATAAAGGATGCACAGTCACATATACAGAGTCACCATCACCGTCACAGCCGAAATAGAACAAAGGCCGGAAAAATGATTTCCCTTATGGCTGAATTTTCATTACCGAAATGCCCGCCATGGCGTATGATTTCATTTGTAAATCAGCTCAAGTTGAGCTGTGGGGACAGGCATACCAAACAATGACAAATCAGCAAACGAATTGCATTTGCTGATACCCCAGGACCGAAAAAGGACGAAAAGGATGAGCTGGCGAGCAGGGGGACAGGGGGACAGGCCAGCCCAACGTGCACTAAATCAGTTGATTGGTTCGCTCCTCCCCCGAAAATTTCGGGGGTTTTTGGTCTGTTGTCTGCTGGCTGGTGTGCCATGAGACCCATAACTGAATTGTCGGCCACGTCGTTGTCATTAAAATGTGTGTGTGCCAGTTTTGGTCCCCCCTTTCCGCGCGGACCAGCATTCGTCACGGCGCCCGCTGCACATTTACGTACACTCGGAAAAAAGATTTAGTCCCAGTTTTAATCTCAATCAATCAAAATATTGGGTAAATGATTTGTCGAAAATATATGTACTTTATGAGGGTTTGTAAAAAAATCTATAGTACTATCGATACTATCAATTGTTAGAAAATTCGATGGTTTAGTTTCATCATGCTCCTTAATTTTTGTAATACGTTTTTTACTTTCTTTAATTTCCGATTGTATCGATAATATAGATAGTCAACACCAAAAACATCGGTAGCCAAAAACATCGATAGCCAGAAATATCGATAGTGGCCACTACGAAAAAACAAGAATTTAGAGCAATTCAAAAAACTCTTAATCTCTCTAAAGATTAAAACATTTTTTCGGTCAGTGCATGAGTGCCTGGAAGCTGGCTCCTCGCACGGCGGCCATTTTATTTTCGACCCGTGCGGTGGCAGCACTTTATGGCATCCGCTTCCGACGTTCGCCATTCGCTGGTGCTTTTTGGTTGGCTGCACACACGGCGCAGGATTCAGGATGCGGGATTCTGGGATTCGGGACCTCTAGACTCCGCCGTAAACACAGCGGATCTTCCGTCCACGGACGACGGCTACTTGGCGCTCATTTGCATTACGTTCTGGGGATTGCTGATGATGGATGGGCGGAGGGGGATGGGACGAGGATGGGTAGCAGGCACTTTTAATTAAAAACCCTCGCTGGCCAACCGAAACTGGAAGCCGCAAATTATTTTCACTTGGCTCACACACATGGCCAGCAGCTACCTCTGACCCTCAGCTCCCCGGAATTCAGCCACAGCCCCTTTTTGGTTTCAGAAACTAATTAAGCATGTTGTGCGCAACAACTTGGGAACAGAACAGAACAGAAAGACCATACAGACTACAGCTCATTGCACTCCAATAAAGGCGAGTGCCTTCTCCCCGGACTTCTTGGGATCTTGGGATATAAGGACTAAGGAGCGAGGACTAAGGACTCCGGACTTCTTCTTGTCGCTGCCACACCCCAAGACATTTCGACAGGCCCTCGAGTTTTCGTTTTTCGTTGCCCCAAGTGTTGTGTGTATCTTGGGTGTGTGCCCTTTGGCGCAAAACAGCAAATTTTACAACTTTTGCACACTGTGCGGTGGAAACAGCTAAGAAAGAGGCCATTTCATGTGCGAGCTTGCCACTCTTACAGGGGGAAAAAATAAGTCTTAGATTTACACAGAGAAAATTAAGCAAGAAGACTGACGTTATCAAATTAAGTATTTGTATTCTCAATTTGAGGAAATACTGATTTTGTGGACAAATTTTGAAAAAAGAAGCCTATTTCTTTCACCATGTTGTTTCTCTCTTATTTATCCCCGTTTTTTGAGAAAAAAATCTCTAAAAAGACTCAATTCCAAGGTATTTTATTTAAAAAATTGGTACTGAAAGTAAGTACTTTGTACTTAAAGTGAGTACTTGGTTTTATTTTGAGTAGAAAATTCTCAGTTTAAGTGCACCGTTCATGAAAAATTCTCTCTGTGTACGATTGAAATTTAAAGGTTAAACAATGTAAATAAACTATAAACACTAAAAACAAATTATTGAGATATTGAAAACTCTGAAAGAAAATCATACATTTTAATTTAATGTTTTAGTATGATTCTAAAGGTATGCAATAATTATTTTAGTAATACATTTTTGCAAATTTAAATTTTCTGTGTAATTTTCAAGCGCAGACGAGTGTTTAGAATGTGTCCCTTCCTCCGTTTAACTGCTGTTGCTTCGTTTTTAGTATCACTCATACGCCGCGTAGCACGCCGTGAAACTTTAATGAAATGGAACGCCCCCGTTGCTTGTTTGGCTTACATTTGGGGAATGGCCCGTAGGCCATCCGTCCGTAAGCTTGTTAGCGAAGCAGAAAATACAAAAAACTGGGAGAGAGGGCCTGAATATGTAGGCCAAAACGACAATGAACAATGGTTGCAATTCCCGAGCAGCTTTTGCATTGACAATCCTCGGCCATTTGGAGCAGCAGATATTATGTGAGAGAGCCACCGCCATTCGATTATCCCGCCTCCTTCTTTCTTTCCGTTTTTTCCCAGGCATCCTTGGCATCCAGCTAATTCCAGTTAGCAAGATGGGGCCATAAAGCGAACTGCTATCACTTAATCTAATGAGTTTTACCTTCCCGCCTTCGCCACCGCGGGCAATTAGACCGAGAATAGCCATAAAAGTTTGAAACATAACAGGGGGCAAGTCAATATATCATTAGGCACTTTGGCCGCTAAATGATCTAAAAACCGAGAAAAAGAAGGAAAAATAGATGGCCAAATAGACTGTGCGGCCAAGTTTTGGGCCGCAATGCAAAATGCCCCGGCCATTGTACAATTTTAATTGCTCTAAAA